ACCAACTAGCGGTCCTACGTTTGGGCCAACTTCTGGACCAACTACTGGGCCCACAGGTGGTCCTACTTCGCTGCCAACATCTGGTCCTACTAGCGGACCAACTTCCGGTCCAAGCAGTGGGCCGACAAGTGGACCAACGTCTGGTCCGACATCAGGTCCAACAAGTGGACCAACATCAGGGCCGACATCAGGACCAACAAGTGGACCTACCAGTGAACCCACATCTGGCCCTTCATCAGGTCCAACAAGTGGCCCAACATCTGAACCGACAAGCGGACCTACGAGTGGACCAACCTCTGGACCAACAAGCCGACCTACTTCTGGACCCACATCAGGACCAACAAGTGGTCCTACTTCTGGTCCCACTGCTGGACCGACTACAGGACCAACATCAGGACCAACATCAGGACCAACGAGTGGCCCTACTTCTGGACCCACCTCTGCACCTACCAATGGTCCTACTTCAGTACCCTCTGCTGGTCCGACAAGTGGACCAACGTCTCAGCCTACTAGTGCTCCAACAGCAGGACCAACTAGCGTGCCAACTTCTGTACCAACGGCTGCTCCATCATCCGGACCAACAAGTGGACCTACTGCTGTTCCATCATCTGGACCAACGAGTGGTCCTACTTCCGAACCATCATCTAGTCCAACAAGGTATCCTAGTTCTGAACCGACCTCTGGGCCTACAAGCGGACCAACTTCAGGTCCCACACCTGGGCCTACTTTCGGACCAACAAGCGGTCCCACTTCAGGACCAACATCTGTACCAACATCAGGACCTACATTTGGTCCAACAAGTGGCCCTACATCTGGACCTACCCGTGAACCCACCAGTGTGCCTACAGGTGGTCCTACTTCGCTACCAACAAATGGGCCTACTAGCGGACCAACGTCAGGTCCCACCTCCGGACCAACTAGTCGTCCTACATCTGGTCCTTCTGCAGGACCGACTCCAGGACCCACCTCAGAGCCCACAAGGGGTCCTACTTCTGGGCCCACCTCAGAACCAACAAGTGGCCCTACTTCTGGACCCACCTCAGGACCAACACGTGGTCCTACTTCTGGACCCACTGCCGGACCGACTTCAGTACCAACATCAGGACCAACAAGTGGCCCTACTTCTGGACCCACCTCTGCACCTACCAGTGAACCTACTTCAGTACCCTCTGCTGGTCCGACAAGTGGACCAACGTCTCAGCCTACCAGTGGACCAACAGCAGGACCAACTAGCGTGCCAACTTCTGTACCAACGGCTGCTCCATCATCCGGACCAACAAGTGGACCTACTGCTGTTCCATCATCTGGACCAACGAGTGGTCCTACTTCCGAACCATCGTCTGGTCCAACTAGTGGTCCTACATCTTGGCCAACTGCAGGACCAACATCTGTACCAACTTCTGGTCCCACTAGCGGTCCCACTTCAGGACCAACATCTGGACCAACATCAGGACCTACATTTGGTCCAACAAGTGGCCCTACATCTGGACCTACCCGTGAACCCACCAGTGTGCCTACAGGTGGTCCTACTTCGCTACCAACAAATGGGCCTACTAGCGGACCAACTTCAGGTCCCACATCTGGACCTACGTTCGGACCATCAAGCGGTCCTACTTCAGAACCAACATCAGGACCTACATTTGGTCCAACAAGTGGCCCTACATCTGGACCTACCCGTGAACCCACCAGTGTGCCTACAGGTGGTCCTACTTCGCTACCAACAAATGGGCCTACTAGCGGACCAACTTCAGGTCCCACCTCCGGACCAACTAGTCGTCCTACATCTGGTCCTTCTGCAGGACCGACTCCAGGACCCACCTCAGAGCCCACAAGGGGTCCTACTTCTGGGCCCACCTCAGAACCAACAAGTGGCCCTACTTCTGGACCCACCTCAGGACCAACACGTGGTCCTACTTCTGGACCCACTGCCGGACCGACTTCAGTACCAACATCAGGACCAACAAGTGGCCCTACTTCTGGACCCACCTCTGCACCTACCAGTGAACCTACTTCAGTACCCTCTGCTGGTCCGACAAGTGGACCAACGTCTCAGCCTACCAGTGGACCAACAGCAGGACCAACTAGCGTGCCAACTTCTGTACCAACGGCTGCTCCATCATCCGGACCAACAAGTGGACCTACTGCTGTTCCATCATCTGGACCAACGAGTGGTCCTACTTCCGAACCATCGTCTGGTCCAACTAGTGGTCCTACATCTTGGCCAACTGCAGGACCAACATCTGTACCAACTTCTGGTCCCACTAGCGGTCCCACTTCAGGACCAACATCTGGACCAACATCAGGACCTACATTTGGTCCAACAAGTGGCCCTACATCTGGACCTACCCGTGAACCCACCAGTGTGCCTACAGGTGGTCCTACTTCGCTACCAACAAATGGGCCTACTAGCGGACCAACTTCAGGTCCCACATCTGGACCTACGTTCGGACCATCAAGCGGTCCTACTTCAGAACCAACATCGCTACCAACAAATGGGCCTACTAGCGGACCAACGTCAGGTCCCACCTCCGGACCAACTGGTCGTCCTACATCTGGTCCTTCAGCAGGACCGACTCCAGGACCCACCTCAGAACCAACAAGGGGCCCTACTTCTACACCCACCTCAGGACCAACGCATGCGCCCACTTCCGGTCCAACATCAGGACCAACATCTGGCCCCACAACAGGGCCTACACGTGGACCCACAAATGTCCCAACAGTCGGTCCCACCGGTCGACCTACCTTTGGGCCGACAAGTTTGCCAACGACTGTCCCCACATCGGGTCCAACCATTGGACCTACAAGTGGGCCTACCTTTGGTCCCACTAGTGGTCCTACAAGTGGACCGACATCTGCGCCGACACCTGATCCAACAAGCGGTCCTACAGCGGGCCCTTCCACTGTTCCGACATCAGGGCCAACTTCAGGTCCGACCTCTGGACCTACGTTCGGACCAACAAGCGGTCCCACTTCAGGGCCAACTTCAGGGCCAACAAGAGGTCCTTCTTCTGAACCAACTTCTCGTCCCACTCTTGGTGAAACTTCTGGTCCCACAAGTGGCCCTACCCCTGGACCAACATCAGGGCCTACTAGCGGACCAACATCAGTTCCCACCTCTGGACCAACAAATGGCCCTACTTTGGGACCAACATCAAAACCTACAAGCGGACCTACTTCAGGTCCAACCTCTGGACCAACTGCTGGGCCTACAACTAGGCCAACAACCAGGCCAACATCTGGACCATCAAATGGCCCCACATCAGGTCCTACTATCAGACCTACATCTGGACCAACTTCTACACCCACCTCTGGTCCTACTAGTGGACCTACTAGCGGGCCAACATCGGGACCAAGTATCGGTCCTACTTCTGGCCCTACCTTTGTACCAACTCCAGGTCCTACTAGCGGGCCAACATCGGGGCCATCTGGCCCTTCCTCCGGACTTAGTCCATCATCAGGTCTTTCAGGTCTTTCTCACACAGAAGCATTGGATCTGACTTCGGGACCCACTTCTAGCCCGACATTGGGACCAACCAGTGGACCTACTTTTGACCCTACAGAAGGCCCTACTGTTGGACCAACCAGCGGTCCTACATCTGGCCCTACATATGGATCAACATCGGGTCCAACAAGTGGTCCTACCAGCAGACCATCATCTAGTCCTACTAGTGGGCCAACCAGCGAGCCTACATCGAGACAGACTTTGGGTCCCACATCTGGACCTACTTCTAGCCCGACATTGGGACCAACCAGTGGTCCTACTTCTGACCCTACAGAAGGTCCTACTGTAGGACCAACCATTGGTCCTACATCTGGTCCTACACATGGACCAACTTCTGGACCAACATTGGGACCAACAAGTGGTCCTACCAGTAAGCCATCATCTAGTCCTACTAGTGGTCCAACCAGCGAGCCTACATCGAGACAGACTTTGGGTCCCACGTCTGGACCTACTTCTGGCCCAACATTGGGTCCAACGAGTGGACCCACTGAAGGCCCTACTGTAGGACCAACATCTGAACCAACAAGTGGTCCTACTGCTGAGCCTACATCTGGGCCTACGAGCACACCAACTTTAGTCCCGACCTCTGGACCTACGTTTGGACCAACAAACGGCCCTACTTCGGGACCGACATCTGGGCCAACATCTGGACCTACCATTGGGCCAACTGTTGGTCCAACAAGTGGTCCTACGTCTTGGCCTACCCGTAAACCCACTGCTGGGCCTACTTCGCTACCAACATCTGGGCCTACTAGCGGACCAACTTCAGGTCCCACTTCCGGACCAACGAGTGGGCCTACATCTGGGCCAACAATTGGTCCTACCAGTAGACCAACAGCTAGTCCTACTATTGGGCCAACCAACGACCCAACCACCAAGCCTACATCTGGTCCAACATCCCAACCAACTTCTGGACCTACATCAGGGCCCACGACAAAAAGTTCCCTACGTCGCCGGCTTATTGACCAGGATCCTCCAAGCCCTTGTATGTATGGAGCAGAAGCAAACCTTTTTGCGGCGGTTGGTGTTGGACCAAAGGAGTGTGCTGACAAGGACAATATGATTGATTTGGACGAGAACGATTTGCCTATTCAGATCATCGACCAAAACCAAAATGGAGACGACGTTACATTCAAGATTACCCAACACTACTACGATGGTATCATCAAGAAAATGGCCTTTAACTTCAAACGAGGCCCTATGGATACCGCGTGTGAAGTGAACTCTGAGATTAGTTTGGAATGGAGCGAAACATACACGGCAGTCTGTTTTGATGGAAAGGCCACGGTGGAGATTTATCTCCATTTTTGTGAGGGTGAAGACATCGGCATCGACTATTGTGCACCTCCTGATAGTCTTGATGACTACTTGGCGCTATCGATGCAGCTTGACTGTTATGAGACTTGCGAAATGTAAGACCATTCACCAACTTCAAGACCTACTACTGATAGATTTTAGAACCATGTACACTATTGTAGGCCTACTATGCAATAATATTTATTAAAGAGTAAATTACAATTTTATAAGAATTATAAGCTGAGAATTTGTCCATGTGGTATCGTGAAACAATCAGCCGCAGATACGATCACCACCAGCGCGACGTAAAAGATTCTCCAATGGAAAGGAATGCTCCAATCATAATGTCAATGCTTGGTACCTACAATAGGAAGTCCGGAGAATGATCAATGCAAGTAAGATCATGATCTGCTGTCTAGCTTTGTTGTTGATGCATGATAAATGGGCCTTTATTGAAGAAGGAAGTCAAAAGCTAAAGCCGATCTCAATGTCAATGTGTCTGAAACTCTATTTCACTATGTACTTTCACTATGTACTACAGTGTTCGTCACCAACTATTTTCCCACGAATGTTTGTTTGACTTATATTATACTCACACCTTAATTTTAAAATCATACTACCGGTATGTATATATTCATTGAATTATATTTAGAAGGCACCCACCATATCCAAATCTTGTGTCGCCAAAATGTCATAGACACAATCCTTGATTGACAAAGGATCTTTCAATTGGGAACAGGCCGCTTCTGCCTCTTCTTCACTCACGTTCGATTCCTGTAGTTGCCGTCGCCTTCTATCTCCTTGTGCTTCTTCTGGTTCGAGACATTTTTCTGGAAATTGTGGATACTCGGTCGCATAAAATAGCATGTCGTCGCTCGGCAGTACTTGCCACTCTTCTCCCAATTGCCAAAAATCGTCCAGAACCGTTTGGCCGTCACGAGCATACGTCTTGCCACTGTGGAAATTTCCCAACATCCCCACCGAATTGCCAAAGGACTCTTGGGTAGGATTGACAAAATCTACCTTGACAAATTCCTTCCAAGTGGAAATAACAATCTTTTGCTCTGGGTAGACCGAATCCAAATCAATCGTCACAATTCGTTTTCGTTCGGATCGAATGTGAACATTGACAGGGAACCCACCAATGGTTTCCATGTCGTCTTTTTGATATTCCAAATTGAACCAATACTTGGCAATCCCCTTCATCTCGGCATCACCTTGGACTTCCAGTATATCTGAGCCGATTCGAATGACGGCGCTTTTAATGTAGGACCAATATCGTATCAGTTTGGTTCGTATTTGCACTTCGAGGCCTTTCCCAAACGCGAAGGTAGGATCCTTCACCAAGATTAGGTCGCATTGTCCATGATATTCGAAATGTTCATTTCTCCAGGTTCGAAAGTGTGGATCTCCAATGGTTCCAGGATTGCTGCTGGTGCACACTCCTGTGGACGCCCGAACGGAAGCGACCCCATCGACGATGGACAAGACTTCCACAACTAGATCATTGGTCCCATTGTAAGTGTTGCTAAAGGTGGTGCTCATACCAGCATCCAACAATCCCACTAACTGGGAAAAGTTGGCTTCCAATCCTTCACTGGCTTGAGTATTGATAACCACTTGATTAATTCCCTCTTTGGTCCCAGAGTTGAATCCAGTGGCATTGTTGTAGGTCAGATAATGATCTACGTCGGTCATGGGGTCTTGAATTTTCATCAAGACAAATGCAATGTTTGGGTCGTTGTAGCTTACAAAGCCACCAAGGTCGACTTCGCAGGGGACACAGGGCATGGGAGTACAAGTGTTGGTTTTGAAGTGATACCAATCCAATTGAAAGGACTTGGCCGGATTGAAACACATTTCGGGTCCGTGCACTTCAGCATACGAGGCTCCCATCTATATATGTATAAATGTATATGTATGTATGTATGTATGTGTATATGGTAGCCATGATGAGAACAAGAAGCAAACACAAATACAACAATCCATATCAGATCAAATACCAACTTACATATCCCACTTGATCTCCAAATTGAGAATCCATCCCAGGCGTAAATAGAACATCGGAACTGTGGTTCAAGTCCAGATTGTGTCCAAATTCGTGCATGTTGTACGATGTATAGGTACAGACGGCGCTGTTGAAGACACTCAAAAAGGAATTGAAAAATCCCAGAGATTGAGTTCCCGCAAGCGTATCGGGTGGCAAACAAATGTGAATAAAATCTGCCGGCAACTGGTTTTGGTTTGCCACAAAGAGCTGTCCCAAAATATTATTAATGTATCCCAAGAATTGATTGTATTGGACCGGATCGTCCAAGTTACCATTGCCGGGATGGACAGTAGTGGTAATTTCGGCAACGCCTCCACTAATCAAACCGCCCGTGGCAGGATTAAGAATCAATTGATCAAAGGAGCACGCGGCAGTCTGAGTGCGTATATTGACGTCCGTTAGACTCAATACTTCTTGTTGTAGATCGGCCGCTGTATGAGTGGTAGTCTTGCCAGCTCCATCCTGGACGATTCTAACACTGAGCAACTCGTAGATTCCAATTCTCTTGAGTTTAGACAGTCGTCTTCTGTTTCGTACGATATCTTCCTCGTCACTAGAATCCGCATTATCAAAAGATTCCGGAGCTCGGTCCAGCAGGAACGAATTCACCTTGGTTCCAGCCGGAAATCGCATTCGAGTTTTGCCACTCTCCATGCGTCCGCTCTTCATCATCTGATTGATCCAACCCGCGTTGACCACGGGGACTCCCAACAATTGATAATCGTCTGTCAAGCAGGCCAGCAGCAAACGAGAAGTGCTGTCGTGAGCACCATCATTTTCCGTCACAATACTCAAGCATTCAATCCCATCAAAAGACGCAGTGCTGCCTTCGTAAAATTTAGGGTTCCCCGCGCTATTGGTGACTGAAAGAGTACCTGTCAGCAACAGCAGTGCGGAGTAATACAGGGACGATAGTGCTCTTATTCTCATTCTCGTTGTGTGTATTGTACCGTAATGAATGAATGGTGTTGTGGTCTGGTATAATATTACTAATTGCTTGAACTCTGCACCTACGAGTTTTTAAAATCCCATTGGACTACTTGACCATTCCCCCCCGCTTATTTTCTCACGTAACTTTTTGCGTTTCGATTCTTCTTCTACATATGCCCGATTTGAGGTTTTACTGCACTACGATCAGATTTACTTATGGACATTTGAGTCACGATTGGCTTCCATTATTTCCGAACATTTATTGCGAAACATTTTTCGGCCGCCCCGCCCCTCCCTCTTTTTATTACAACCCGAAAAATGGAAGAGACGGTCGACTCATCCGAATAATCGAGATAGTCAGATCCATTTTGAATTTATACCGGTCCCGGTACGGTGTGGGCAATGTGTTAGAGGATCTTAGTACTACTGTAGTTGGTTTGGCACGATCGATATTGGACATGTGACGAAGGCTTTAGAGTATGTATTGCATAGTATTAGCACAGTCAGTGCACCAGTTGCAATCATGGAAGAAGGCACAGGGCCGATAGGAATATTATGCTGCAGCTGCTGGCCAATCACACCCATCATTTTAAAATACTAGAAAGCAACGGACTTAATTCTAGTGAAGTTGACTTCTTGACCAAGAGAAAAAGATTACAGCGGTCAAGATCAGTGGAAATCTCAAAAGTTCTGGCGAACGTAATGCACCGAATGAATAGCGATGTGGTCGTAATAGAAGAACCAATGATGCCGCTGCACGACTGACCAAAGAATGCCTCTGTAACGGCCGGGAAATAGAAATTTAGCATACAATTCTTGTGAGTAAAGGTTGATTTTCCCGGCCGTCCCTGAAAGCAGTGACGATACGGTAGGTACTGTAGGTATCTTTGAAATTCATGACATGTTGTTATGAATTTCAAAAGCAATGTTGTAATAACTGTATTCGTTACTTCAGCCGATACGAGTACTCGGTGCGTGAGTACCGTTCTGTACTCAACCGAGTAAACTGACAAATCTAACCAGACGGAGTCGAAAAAAAGGATCCAGCATGAAAAGTTAAGCACAACGTCATTTGGGTGTTATGTATTTGAGATGGTCGTGAAAAGGTTGCAGATAAATGTAGTGTGTGTCGAACTTTGATTTCTTTCACGGTTTCGCAAATTGATTTAGGGCAGCAAGCTAAAAGCGAAACACCGGTAAGATCAAACGATTTAGCCAGCGACAAAAATGGATAAGGCATCTCACACATTTAATCTGGTCCTGGTATTGTTCAAACTACATTTATAGTCCGTCAAAGCAAAAAATTTCGCGTTGTTGGCTGTGCTGTTAATTTCACCTCCGCCAAAGGCCACCGCCTCCCGCCCACCACCATATTTTTCTCGTTTTGGATTTGTCACGTGAGAAAATTGCACACAGAAAATCTTCCGCCAATGACCAGCTCCATGATGATTGCTAAAATGTTGCTCAGGTCTTTCTTGCTTCTTCAGGTGCTACAAACGATAGTTTTAGCGCAGCGCACAGAAATCTTTCCGCCAGGTCTTGAATCTAACGTAAGTATGGTATTTTTTATTTGCTCTCGTCTCCTGTGCTTCCGCATGGCATTGGTTTCTCACGAAATTGCAACGCCATTCCAACTCTTGCCAACTGCTTACTGTCATCTCAATACAATAGTTTGCTCCTGGTCTACAACAAGTATCCTTAGACCAGCAAAATCTTCCATGCACTCTATATGACAACGTTGTCGAATTCGCGGATGGGACAGGAACAAGTGAATGGACCTGTGAAGTTTTTGGCCAAGACGCCAAGAATGCTGGAAGTAGCAAAAAATTCTCTACAGCTCGGGTGGAGGGAATGGAGCATGTTCTAGCTGCCAATCCAAACATTCAAAGCGGAAAAACCACTCTTCTTGCACGAGGAGCTGCACTTTCCGATTACAAACTGACCATCGATCCTGGTATCCCGCTTACGTTCGGAGAAGTCGATCCAACAGCTAACCGTAGACGACGAAGGCTTGCAGCCACAAGCGGCGCTTTAGAAGTCCTAGTGGTACGGGTGTCCACTAAGGATTCTGTCTTGCCACAGTCAAAGGCAGAACTCAGTGGCGATGTCTTTGGAACACTGGGAACCGGCGATACCCTCAACTTGAAAAGCATGGTGGAAGAATGCTCCGCCAACGAGCTCAGAGTCAATCCGGGCACCGGGACTGGCTCTTATTGTGCCGAGAATCCGGATGCCGTCTTTGATGTTCCACGCTCCGATCTAGATACCGTTTACAACTGTGAATGGTTCACAAAATTCCGCTTTGCTACAGAGGGAGATTTCTGCCCTGTATATGGTGACGCTGGACAAACATTTCCAACTGTGGATGGTAAGGATAACAATACTTTTTGGTCTTCTTTCTTCCAAAGGCAATACTGACGTTTGCATGTTACTTCTGTCTCCTTACAAGATTCCAAAACGGCCAAGACTGAATGTTGCATTTGCGGTGGTGGAACTACTGTTAACTATGACAACAACGTGGAGGACGGAGTCATCGATTTGCTAGTACCTTTCTTTGGCTACGGAGCCACTTACAAACAGGTCGAGACTGCTGCCTTGGAAGCGCTGGAGGATCTCTTCGGTGTTGACAGGCTGGATGAAAGGTTTGATAACGTTATGCTATGCTTGCCTTATGGGTCCTTCAGTCCTAATGACACCACCAATAGAGATTGGATCGCATATGCTGGGATTGGAGGATACCGTAGTGTGTACAATAGTGTTGCTTGTTCCAATGAAGTCACTCAGATGCACGAGATTGGGCACAACTTTGGACTTCGGTAAATTGTCCCATTGCTTGCCTACTTGACACTCAACACATTGATTCTCACATTTTCATTTGTTTCTTCATGCAGCCATGCATGGGACGGAGGTGTAGAATATGCGGACGAGACTGGAGCCATGGGCTTCACAAGTGGGGCGCAAGATGATGACCCATTCGGAAACAGAAAGTGTTTCAATGGTGCCCACTCATGGCAGCTAGGCTGGTACACTCCCTTCAATGTTGAATTCGATCCCTTGACCACAAACTTTTCTGGGAATCTAGTGGGGGTAGACAGAGTTCCCAATGTGGTAAACGGTTGCGAGAATGTTGTCTTGAAACTGAGCCACCCGATTGAAGACTACTACATTATCTACAATCACGCGGTGGGGGCGAACGAAGGCACAAAAGAATACCAAAATTTGGTCACGGTAACTTCCATGCCCAGCACCACAACCCCCTACACCTATCTCAAGGCGACCTTGGGTGAAGGTGCTGTTTACACAATTCCCAACTGGGCCAACAGTGGACAATCCGTGACAATTACGGTGACATCTATCGACACGGATGCTGCCACTGGAAGTGCGGTTGTTGAAGTATGGAAAGGAGGACTCGGCGATCGCCCACCGCCACAAGCAAGTGCTTGCGCGCCGGGTCCAGCTCCAGTGTTTGATCCAACCTCAGGACCCACAAGTGGACCAACACCTGTGCCTACATCTGGTCCGACTAATGTTCCAACTATTGAGCCTACACCTGTTCCTACGTCTGGTCCAACTAGTGGACCGACACCTGTCCCTACCTCTGGTCCAACATCTGCACCAACAAGTGGGCCCACACCTGTTCCTACCGCTGGTCCGACGTCCGGACCAACCTCTGGCCCATCATTAGCTCCGAATCCGGAGCCAACGTCTGGACCCACGTCAGGTCCCACGCCCGCTCCAAGTCCAGGCCCAACGTCGGGACCATCGAGTGGGCCGACACCTGTTCCTACCTCTGGTCCAACCTCAGGACCAACAAGTGGCCCAACCTCTGCCCCTACATCTGGTCCTACACCAGTACCCACAACTGGCCCTACATCCGCCCCTACCGCAACTCCAAACGCGGAACCTACAACCTCTGGACCTACATCTGGACCAACTTTGAATCCAACGTCTAGACCGACGTCTGGTCCTTCATCCGGACCGACGAGTGGCCCATCCTCCGGCTCTACACCCCAACCAACTTCAGGTCCTACGTCTGAACCGACATCTGGTCCTACATCTGGACCAACCAGTGGTCCATCCTCTGGTCCTACTTCAGCGCCCACCTCTGGACCGACATCTGGTCCTTCATCTGTACCAACGAGTGGCCCATCCTCCGGCTCTACACCCCAACCAACTTCAGGTCCTACGTCTGGACCAACCTCTGGTCCTACGTCTGGACCAACCTCTGGTCCTACATCTGGACCAACCAGCGGTCCATCCTCTGGTCCTACTTCAGCGCCCACCTCTGAACCGACGATTGGACCAACCTCTGGTCCCACTTCCGGGCCCACAGCTGGCCCTGTCTTGTCTCCAGTCGCACCTTCAGTTGCATCCCCAGTTTTGTCTCCCGTTGCATCTCCAGTTGCAAACGACGACGAGCCGGAAACCGAGGTGACTGGTGATCCCCATTGTACGTAATGACGATTGACTCAATTAGGTTCTGACGCATTGCTTTCTCACATTCGACCTTCTCTTTACATATCCAGTCAAGACATGGAAGAATGAACACTTTGAATTCCATGGGCAGTGTGATATTGTCATGATTTCGGACAAGGACTTTGCCAACGGCCTTGGCATTGATATTCATATCCGTACCAAGATTGTTCGATTCTGGAGTTACATCGAAAAGGCTGTCATCCGCATTGGCAATGACATTCTTGAAATCGAAGGATTGCCCGATTTTTCTGCCAGCTATTGGATCAACTACGAACACATGGGCGAGTTGTCTGATCTATCTGGCTTCCCTGTATCCCTCAATGATAACACCGATCGGTACACAATTGATTTGGGTAGTCTGTACCCAGGAGAAAAGATTGTGATCAAAACCTTCAAGGAGTTTGTTGGAGTGAAAATTCTTGGTGGGTCTGAGACTTCTTTCGGAAAGTCTATTGGTATCACTGGTGACTTCAAGACGGGCAACACCTATGCTCGCGATGGAAGCACTGTATTGAATGACTTTACCGAACTTGGAAACGAATGGCAAGTCCTTCCTTCTGATGGACACTTCTTCCATACATTGTCTCGGCCACAGTTCCCAGAGAAGTGCATGGTGCCAGAAAATCCACAGGGAGAACGCAAGCGTCGATTGGGTGAGAGTACTGTCTCAGAAGAACAAGCTGAAGCCGCTTGTGCTGGACTTGAAGATGAGTTCAGCCGCAAGGGTTGCGAATACGATATCTTGGCTACTCAAGATTTAGAAATGGTCGGCGCCTATTAGAGTGATAGATTTATGGTTCATGCAAATATTAGAAGTGAGACGAAGAGTCGCTAGTTTGATGAATGGGTTGTTCTAATAGCTGTATTAGTTTCAGAGCACGATCTGTGGTTGCAGGATAAGATAGAATTCAGATGTGAAAATCACTATCCTCTTGAAAATTGTGCCTTTCTGAGTAGCATGATGTGGTTGCAGGATACTAACTTCCATGATTGCAGCGCAGCCTTTACCATGCCAGTAGATGAGTAATTGGATTGCATACCGGAACAAAAATACAGCACCAAGTGCCGCAATCGAAACTCTTTCGGAGATAGGACAATCCATGAGACATGTCATTCTGATCGGCATGTAGTAAACATATATCCTTTGACCTTTGAGTAATAAGACAATTTGTGAGATGCAGGTATTGTCATGACGGTTGCGGGAGCGCCATAGGACATACAATACATCTGCACAGAAACATGAGAAAAGAGCGTCGAAGCTTTCCTGTTATGTATTTGAGACGGTCGTGAAAGGATACCGTTAAATGCTGGGAAGGACGAATTGTAACAACACTCTCTTGTCTTTTCACGGATTCACATCCACTTAGGGAACCATTGAAAGTGAACCTTTCAAAAGCATAAATGTGGATGCCCCCACCTTTTCAAAATTGCACAGCTAAAACATTACTTTTAATGCATCTTCAATATAAGGAAACGCAATAAATGTGACTTTGATAGAATTCCTTCACATTTATTTAAATTTGTCCGCGAAAGAAATTTCGGGGCTGGCTGGCGGGTGTCTACACCACTATTCATCGGTTTTGATTTTCCCCGAATGAATCCTGCACAGACAATAAACTAATCCGATAAAATGAAGATGGTGACCAGGGCTCTCTTGTTCCTTCAGCTGCTGCAAACGGCAGTTTCAGCGCCGCCCTTTGAAGTACCGCCAGGTCTTGAGGATAACGTAAGTATGGTGTCTTGCTCGTCTCTCATTTGCTTCAGCATAGCATTCCTTTCTAACACAGTCCAATCCGACCGCACATTCCAACCATTGCCAACTGCCGTCTATTTTTGTTATACCGGTAGTACGCACCTGGTCTGCGACAAGTGCTCTTAGACCAGCAAAATCTACCATGTACGCTGTACGACAACATTGTCGAATTTGAGGATGGAACAGGAAAAAGTGATTGGATTTGTGAAGTCTTTGGACAAGACGCCAAGAACGCTGGCAGCAAAAGAGCTTTCTCTACAGCCTGGGTGGAGGGAATGGAGCATGTTCTAGCTGCCAATCCAAACATTCAAAGCGGCAAAACCACTCTGCTTGCACAAGGAGCTGGACTTTCCGACCACAAACTGACAATTGATCCTGGTATCCCGCTTACATTTGGCGAAGTGGATCCATCTTCCGGAATATCAAACCGTAGACAACGAAGGCTGGCAGCAAGGACCGGCGATTTAGAAGTCCTAGTGGTACGAGTGACCACTGCCGATGCTTCCTTGACAAAGCAAAAGGCAGAAATCAGTGGCGATGTCTTTGGAACAAGTGGAAGCGGCGATACCCTCAACTTGAAAAGCATGGTGGAAGAATGCTCCGCCAACGAGCTCAGAATCAATCCGGGCGATGGAACTGGCTCTTATTGTGTCGACAATGCGGATGCCGTCTTTGATGTTCCACGCACTACTGATTCTGTCCCCCATAACTGTGACTGGTTCACTCGCTACTTGTTTACTACAAGAGGAGATTTGTGCCTTTACTATGGTGATTATTCACAAGAATCACCAACTGTCAATGGTAAGGAAATCAAGGTGTTTTGATTCTGTCTTGCCAAGAGGATTCTGACGTCGTGTAATACTTGTTTCTTCTGTGTCTTACCAGTTACCAAAACTGCCAACACTGAATGTTGTATTTGCGGTGGTGGAAATACTGTTAACTATAACAATAGCGTGGTGGACGGGGTCATGGATTTACAACTACTGACTATCGATGCCGCTGGAAGCACTTACAAAGAGCTCGAGGTCGCTGCCTTGGAAGCGCTGGAGGATCTCTTTGGTGTTGACAGACTGGATGAAAAGTTTGATAACGTCATGCTTTGCTTGCCTAAGGGATCCCACAGTCCTTCTAATGTGAACGCTAAAAATTGGATCGCATATGCTGGCCTTGGAGGGTATCGTAGTGTGTTCAATGGGGACTTCAACTGTGCCAATGAAATCACTCAAGTACACGAATTCGGACATAATTTTGGCCTTGGGTAAGTTCTTTCACTATTTGCTTTCCTCATATTTATCACACTGATTCTCACATTCTCATTTGTCTCTTCATGCAGCCATGGCTGGGAAGGAAGTGTACAATATGGGGATCAGACTGGAGCCATGGGGTTTGCAACCGGTGTGGCGGATGATGTCGCAGCGAATAACAGAGTGTGTTTCAATGGTGCACACTCGTGGTTTCTAGGCTGGTACACTCCCTACAACGTTGAAATCGACCCCTTGACCACAAACTTTGCTGGAAATCTAGTGGGTGTTGACAGAGTCCCCAATGTGGCTAGTTGCGAGAACGTTGTCTTGAAACTGACAAACTCTGTAGCAGATCATTACGTCATCTACAATCATGCAGTAGGGGCGAATGAAGGCACAGTTGAATATGCAAATCATGTTACAATAACTTCCATGAACACCACGAAAACCGTAACATACATCCAGGCGACCTTAGGAAATGGAGGCACTTATGCAACGTTTAACAACTGGGATGGAACTACAGAATCCGTGACCGTTTTGGCGACATCTATCAACACAGATGCCGCCACTGGCAGCGCAGTGGTTGAAGTATGGAAAGGCGGAATCAACGATCGGCCAGCGCTCCAAAGTGCTTGTGCTCCGGATCCTACGTCTGACCCAACCTCAGGACCGACTGGTGAACCCACACCTGTGCCTACATCTGGTCCAACGAGTCTCCCAACCTCAGCGCCAACCAATCGTCCATCATCAGGACCAACAAGTGAACCCACGGCTGCTCCTACCTCTGGTCCCACATCTGGACCTACCTCTGGGCCTACACCTGCTCCTACCTCTGGGCCTACGTCAGGGCCAACAAGTGGACCCACACATGCTCCTACCTCTGGTCCAACAAGTGGACCCACGCCTGCTCCTACCCCTGGTCCAACATCCGGACCCACTTCTGGGCCTACACCTGTTCCCACGTCTGACCCTACGTCTGGACCAACAAGTGGACCAACACCTGCTCCTACCTCAGGTCCAACATCTGGACCGACCTCTGGGCCAACACCTGCTCCCACCACTGGGCCGACGTCGGGACCAACAAGTGGACCAACACCTGTTCCTACCTCTGGGCCAACATCCGGACCCACCTCTGGGCCTACGTCTGGACCAACAAGTGGGCCAACACCTATTCCTACCTCTGGTCCAACATCCGGGCCCACCTCTAGGCCAACTTCTGGCCCCACATTAGGTCCTTCGCCCGCTCCTAGTTCAGGCCCAACATCAGGACCAACGAGTGGCCCTACAATTGGACCAACTACGGAGCCCACTTCTGGTCCTACTTCAGGCCCGACATCAGGACCAACGAGTGCCCCAACCTCTGGTCCTACTTCAGATCCAACGTCGGGTCCTACAGCAGGTCCTACACCGGCACCCACCTCTGGTCCTACTTCAGCGCCCTCTTCTGTTCCAACTTCAGGTCCAACATCCACCCCAACAGCAACTCCGAACGCGGCGCCTACAACCCCTGGCCCTACATCAGGACCGACATCCAAACCAACTTCAGGTCCAACCTCTGGCCCTACATCAGGTCCTAGTGTCGGACCTACATCTGGTCCTACTACTGGACCGACATCTGGTCCTACAAATGGCCCTACTACTGGACCGACATTAGCACCAACACCCGGACCAACTAATGGGCCATCATCTGGGCCAACTTTAGTTCCAACAAGCGGTCCTACGTCTGAGCCTACAGGCGAACCTACCTCGGGACCAACGCCCGCACCCACATTGGGGCCAACTGTCGGGCCTACAGGTGGTCCTACTTCTCTACCAACAGCCGGGCCCACAAGTGTCCCAACTGCCGGCCCCACAATAGGACCGACTTCAGGACCCACGAGTGTCCCAACTGCCGGTCCCACCTCTGGACCAACAAGTGGACCAACATCTGGCCCCACAGCAGGACCGACTTCGGGTCCCACAGATGTCCCTACTGCCGGCCCCACCATAGGGCCTACCAGTGGCCCTTCATCTGTACCAACAAGTGGCCCATCCTCCGGCTCTACACCCCAACCAACTTCAGGTCCTACGTCTGGACCAACCTCTGGTCCTACGTCTGGACCAACCTCTGGTCCTACATCTGGTCCTACTTTAGCGCCCACCTCTGAACCGACGATTGGACCAACCTCTGGTCCGACTTCCGGGCCCACAGCTGGCCCTGTCTTGTCTCCAGTTGCACCTCCAGCTGCACCTTCAGTTGCATCTCCCGTTGCATCTCCAGTTGCAAACGACGACGAGCCGGAAACCGAGGTGACTGGTGATCCCCATTGTACGTAATGACGATTGACTCAATTAGGTTCTGACGCATTGCTTTCTCACATTCGACCTTCTCTTTACATATCCAGTCAAGACATGGAAGAATGAACACTTTGAATTCCATGGGCAGTGTGATATTGTCATGATTTCGGACAAGGACTTTGCCAACGGCCTTGGCATTGATATTCATATCCGTACCAAGATTGTTCGATTCTGGAGTTACATCGAAAAGGCTGTCATCCGCATTGGCAATGACATTCTTGAAATCGAAGGATTGCCCGATTTTTCTGCCAGCTATTGGATCAACTACGAACACATGGGCGAGTTGTCTGATCTATCTGGCTTCCCTGTATCCCTCAATGATAACACCGATCGGTACACAATTGATTTGGGTAGTCTGTACCCAGGAGAAAAGATTGTGATCAAAACCTTCAAGGAGTTTGTTGGAGTGAAAATTCTTGGTGGGTCTGAGACTTCTTTCGGAAAGTCTATTGGTATCACTGGTGACTTCAAGACGGGCAACACCTATGCTCGCGATGGAAGCACTGTATTGAATGACTTTACCGAACTTGGAAACGAATGGCAAGTCCTTCCTTCTGATGGACACTTCTTCCATACATTGTCTCGGCCACAGTTCCCAGAGAAGTGCATGGTGCCAGAAAATCCACAGGGAGAACGCAAGCGTCGATTGGGTGAGAGTACTGTCTCAGAAGAACAAGCTGAAGCCGCTTGTGCTGGACTTGAAGATGAGTTCAGCCGCAAGGGTTGCATGTACGATATCTTGGCTACTCAAGATTTAGAAATGGTCGGCGCCTATTAGAGCGATAGAATAAGCCTCATACATATATAATTTAGATTTATCACTAATCACTAGCCTTGAATGTTGCAATGATATAATTTAGATGCATCATTAATCACAAGTCTTTAATGTTGCGATGTCGGTGGTATATATTGCACGTGAGGGTAAATTTGTTGGTTCGTTCTCTGACGATGACAGTTCGTACAGCGCCACTGGTCCATTTTCATTTAAAAAATGGTCCAATCTGCATCATCATGCATGGTCTTCATTTGTCCCGCTTCTTTTCAGGGCGACCGCCACCCCCTCCCATCCAGGAGCTAAATGCCTTGTTACATGAAGAGCCGTATGCAACGATTGCCTATTGTATTTTTTGGGCTATGCTGCTTTCCATCGGAGCTCCCATTGCAATGATTGTGTTGGCTGTGATGCTTCCCTTGCATCTGCTGAAGTATTATTGCTTTGATCACCGTATTCTTCCCATCAAATCGGAACATAAAGAACTTGCTGTTGTCATTACGGGTTGTGATAGTGGTTTTGGAAAAGAACTGTCTTTTCGATTGGCGGCGGAAGGATTTCATGTCTTTGCTGGCATTTTGAAGCCTTCTTCCAAAGACCTTTTCCGTGGAGAAGCCTTGATCCAGCCGATGGTATTGGATGTGACGAACGAAAACGATATTAAACATGCCTATGAGAAAGTTTCCAAATGGATGAAAGCAGGAGACAAGCAACGATGTTTACATTCTCTTGTCAACAATGCTGGGCTTGGACGCTTTGGATTGATAGATTGGATCACAATGGATGACTATGAGATTTGCATGAAAGTAAATTGCTATGGTCCCATTCGAATGGTCAAAGCTTTTTTACCAATACTGAAAGATCAAGCCATTCAAGGCTCTCATACGCAAAGCCAGATTGTCAACATGGTATCGTGCGCTGGAATGGCTTCGGCCAGCGGATTGGGTGGCACCCCCTACGAAGTCTCCAAGCATGCCGCCGAAGCCTTTACGGATTCTCTCCGATTGGAAATGAAAACTTTTGGTATCAAGGTGATAGCTGTCAATCCATCCTTTCATTCCACTGATATGGTGGACAGCACCGACGAACTCTTGGACCCCGAGAACATGTGGAATGGCCTTTCCAAGACTCATCAAGAGGAATACGGTAAGACCTTTGTTGATAAGCTTTGTGTCCACACTCGAACCGTGATACGAACGGCCACTTGGGATTTCAAAGTGGTGATTGATGTCATGGTGGATATTATCCAATCGAGTAGTCCTCCTGCCCAAGTTGTAGTTGGAATGGACTTTCGGTATGGGTTGGCGGGAGTTCGCATGTTTCCGCAGTGGCTTCGACACTGCCTGACACTGGTAGCTTTGCCCTATCTAGAGCCAGCAGCAATGACGCCCTCCAAACCTTTGGAGGCAAAGATAGAGTGAATTACTTTGCACTCTCGTAGACACCAATTGGTTTTCTTGGATATGGTCGGCACATACAAATACTATTGTACTGTACAATATGAAAGCAAATTATATGTGTGAATAAGGCTGCATCTTTTAGGGTAGTATAGTACTGTAAGTACATAGAGTATTGCAAGTACAAAGAGTGCAGAAAGGCGCGAATAATATGCTGTCATCAATATACTTGTACACGTTTACCTATACTCCAGCCATTATCGCATACATGCAGTATTAGAACATATGGATTGATTTATTTGACTCATCATCCCACACGACTTCATCATCAAAATGAAAAATTATTGTTTCCAAACTCTCGAAATATTTTTGTTGTTGTCTTCGTCAATGCAAACAACGTAGCCGCGGCTGGAAGACATCCGGTACAATTTCTACTGCAGTCAACGTCGGTCATAGCGTTGCTAAAGCTTTCTGAGAAAATGTAGGCCCCATCCTGAATCCTCGCAAGTTCTCACAATTGTCGTGACATTCTTGCATGCTATCGAATTCGATTTCGTCATCATCATCCTCGTCAGAAAGAGTCGTCGTCATCATTTTTAGTATTGGGGAGTCCTGGATTATCGTCGTCTTCTTGACTACTACTACTACTACTACTACTACCATCTACCACTTTTTGCGTTCGTTTCTTGGAAGGATGGGCAAGAATATCATCGTCCGAGTCGTCGTCACTATCATAATTGGGTTTCTTGCTTGCTGCTGGTGTTGCTTTTGTTGCTATTGCTGCTGCCATTTCCGAGTCATTGGACAATGCCGAGTCGGAACTGTATTGGTTGAGAATTTCCATGACTTGGGATTGATGTGAACGCTTGGGAGGAGAGGCCGCACGTTTTGGTGATGGCAAGAGTGGGGAACCTAAATCTTTTGCTGGCGATTTCTTCTTTGTTATTGGTTTCATAAAGTCGGGCAGTTCGTCTTCCGAGGAAGAGGAATCATTGAGCAGCTGGTCCAGTCGCCTCTTGTTTTGCGAGTATGTAGGCGGAGCCTTTTTGAGACTCAGTGCTGTCTTTAGTGGTGTCGGTTTGCGTTGTTCCACGGTTGGCGATGTTGACGCTGATCTAGCTCGAGGTACTGCTATTGGACGATTTTTTTCCTTGTTCTTCGCGATATCAATAGAACTATCATCGTCATTTGAGGAGGAAGAGGAAGACAAGAGGTTCGTTGTTATAGGCCGACGAGTATTCTGGTTTGCCGTAGACTTTGCGGTTTCTTGCCTGCTTCTAGCAGACGCCGAACTAGACCGCCGATTGCTTTGGTTGGATTTGTTGGATTCATTTGTGGGTGCCTTTTTAATGTTCAAATTCCCCATCAATTGCTCTTGCAAGTGAGGCACTTTGCGCAATACAAGAGCAACGTCGTCCACGGCAATGGTTGACTTTCGACTGGCATGATCAGAGAACTGGTAGAGATCTGGAGCCAGTCGATTTGTGACATACTGATAAACTAGTTCACTCAAAGCTCGAATAGCCCCTGGTGTCGTCCGTGTTCGATGAATCCGATCTTCCTTTATGATAATCTGCAAGACCGCCATTTGAAGGGCAGCTCGAACATCTCTGGTTTCCTTATTGTCGGATTCGTCGTCTTCTTGGGCCTCGTTGACATCGGAAGGGCCAGCACGATTGCTCATTATTCTATTTGTGCACCAGTCGAGCTGGTCTTGTGGCCTAGAACGATAGAATGGTGGAGTAAGTAGAGGACAACTTCATAGCCACGGATGATGATGTGGCTTTGGTCAACATCATTCGAACATGTTGTTGTTTTCTGTCGAATTGGTCGACCACTTGAGTCATTGTGGTCAAACCAGAGGTCATCAATAGAATATACTCATCGTATGTCAAATAAAAAAAACGAAACGCATCCCAACAAACTGATGCCAACGCCATTCATCACTTTTCGACAAAACTACTGCAGCTTGGGCGTTGAAGGATTCAAATTCGACTGGTGAGGGGAGCATGCAACACAATGATCCTCCTCAGCAGTCGAGAAAGTGGCAACTTGTCGGTTTCTCGGCTCTCATTGCCATCTTCATCGCCTTCAACCTGAAAGAAGCTGTGATTCTGACAGCAGCCCATCACATCAAAAGAATAACGGACGACATGGTCAATGTCCCTACGGCTAGTGTTCCAACGGGGTCATCACCAGCAGTTATTCATCACCCGCAACCAATGCCCAAGAATGGAGGTGCTCTCAAGCTCATTATTGCCAAAACAATCGCTGCGAAAGACATTGCCGAAACCTTACTGGACATTCAATCCTTTGTGGAACGGTATTCGTCACAGTCATCTTCGTCTAAATTTCAAATTGAATGGCGGCTATTTTGCTACAAGAATGAAACTATGGCTGCACTTTTGGAATATCATAGTGAAGACCAATGGTTGCAACATTACAATACTAGAATCTATCTCGAGCTAGGCGCCAACAAGGTCAACTTTTGGCACAAGTACCTCAATCCAAAGGCCACAATCGACCACGATGTAGACTATATTTGGATGATGGATGGAGATATACAAATTCGATACATGGCCTGGGAATGCTTTTGGGATATTGTCAGACGCTTTCAACCTTCCATTTTTGCTCCGTCGCTCATGACCAACATGGACAGTCGAGCTTGGGAAGATCGCAAGGTCTATGTCGGCTCGACTCATCCTCACAAGTGTCATGTCACGGATCCCAATCCCAAAAAGAAGAAAAAGAAAAAGAAAAAAAATGACGACAAGAACAAGGACACGACGAAATCAATAATATCACCTGAAACCAAACTGCCGCTTGTTCCACGACCTGTCAACAACTTTCAAAGGATGATCGCTATGGATGTCTGGGTAGTGGAAATCCAATTACCAGTCTTTTCTAGATTAGCCTGGGAGACTACTTACAATGTCTTTGAAGAACGAGTGCAAGGATGGGGACAATTCAAAACGAGTTGGGCTCCCGATCTCTTTTGGTGCAAAATGATTGATCAAGAATTGCATGGGACCAACAATAGCGTTCAAGATCGTTTGCAAGATCGTCCCTTTATGCGATGGCAAAAGCTCAAGAAACAGTGCGATATTAATCCCAAAGTCATGCACGATGTCACGGGAATTCAAGACTTGAGGTTTTATCAAGATGACGAAGGAGACGGAGACTCTAAGCAACAATCACATCCCTGCATGCTCATTCATTCCACACCCGTCCGAGATTTGGATTCCCGAACCATCAAATTGCACACCAACAAGAAATCCAGTCTAACGTTTCGGAGAAAAGGAGAAGCAGACTTGTTAAAGTACAAACAAGGGTTGCCTGGTTTGTACACGACCAAAGCGTTGGGACAGAATCAACTGTATCGAGCCTACATTTCGAAAAATGAAACAGAGTACAATTGTCAGGCTTGTCGACACACGGCGTGCTTATTGGACTAGCTTAGGCTGCTTCTTGGAATGACATATATGTCTATGATCTCGCACATCATCAGCATGGTGGCACAGTACATCGTCGCTTTAAGCTGGACATTTCACAGTCTAGCTGATAATATTGTCGTCGGTCTTCTTGGGTGCAGCACTTACCACGGTTTATATTGGTCTGCTTCCCGTGCGAATGTTCGGACCCAAAGACGACACGACTCGCGCTCCGCCAAATGGAAACAATGAGGAGTAAATGTGACCAATAGTCTCCATTCGAAACTTTTGGTATCGTAGTTGATTGGAAGAAGACTGAGACTTGCTTTTGCAACCAAACAAACTTATTGTTAGGATGCCGCCCACCCAGAATCCTCAGTAGCATGAGTCATTGGCTGCTATAGTCGTTGTTGCTAGATAGTATTTAATAAATACAACTACTGTAGGATGACACATCGTGCTAAAAAACAGATATTTTCTACTACTATTACTGCGTACCATCGCCACCAAACTTTGGGCTGACATTGACCAATGGCAAGGTCAGAGCCCGCCCTTGCATTGCCGTTTCAATCCACCAATATCCCAGACGAAACACTGCTCCAGAAATGGAAATTTGAATGGACATGCTATCATTGTCCCATGCAATGACACGACCAATCAACTCTGGGTTTTGCGCGAGAACGGGCTGGTGACTGGGTTGACCTGCCCCTTCGACGTTGTGATTGACAATCTGGACCTTGGCATTGACATTTAGATCCCACACCATTTTGTAGGAGTCGCCATCATTATTCCCGCCACCGCCGCTACCATTACTGACCAAGTACAAGTCGCCTTGAGCATCATAGGGAATCAAGAATTTCTTGTCCTTTGGAAACTTATATTGTTTGGATATGGATTTGGGCACTGGTGCCAATTTCATGTGATGAAACAATTGCCGAAAGACATTATCCGTCGAACCAAAGATTCGTAGACTGGCCTTGCCATCTTGCGGTGTCTGTTGCAAATTGATAATGACCATACCTAGAGATTTCCCTTGAAGCGATCGATGGGCAGCCTTGATGGGCACTTGATCCGCATTGAGTCCACTGAGACTGGTGCCCAAGACCAATACCAAGTCGGCACTTTCGGCTTCCTTGACCATCCATTTGTATTCAGAGTGTCTTAAGGACCCGGAATACTTCACCACAGGGTTGGAAGGATCGTACCAACTTCCGTGAATCTCATTGATCTTGTCTTGAGGGAATCCAGCCTTTTGGGGCAATCCATCGTGATTTTGTTGGATCCACCCATGAATCAAGTCGTTTGATGCCAATGCACCCAAGGCATAATGGGTAGGAGTCGGCTTGGCGCTCATCTTGTTCGCTTTGGTAATGCCAAAGATGGGATGTTTCTTGGTGCCATTTTGGCTGCTTCCTCGAGCCGCTTGTCCAATTCCAGCAGCTACAGAGATACCTGCTCCACTATAAACAACAGTCTTTTTGGATTGTCGTAGTAGCTCAGCTAACTTTTGAATCTTGAGTTGCATGAGCCTGTCTTCATCTTGGTATTCGGAAGCAGTCAGCCAAGACTTTGGATCATCCTCAATGTTGGTGTTGTGATGATCATCTCGTGGTTTGTCAGGCGATTCCCATGTCATGGTAGGGGGCAATAGCAACAGCATGCGATTCTCTTCGTCTTGTTCCTTGGAAAAGACTCGGCCATGCCAAAATTTAGCTTGACGAGGATGAGTCTGAAAGGGATTGGAAGCAATGACTTGGAGCAAGTCTTGCCGTTGACTGTTTGGCTGTTTGGCCATGGTTTGATTCTGATTGTGAAAGAGGGTACGTTTCCTTCGGGGTGGATTGGATGTGGTGCACGTTTAAAAAGTAGAGAGTGGAACACATGGAATGTTGAACGTTTTAAGATAAAGTGGGCGTCGATGGTTGAGTTTTGTGTTTGCGTGTGCGTTATTGAATTTATATTCCGAATATGGCACGCCTTAGATTTTGTCATTGGGGCCTTTTCTAGTCCATGTGGGTACATGCTTAGTGTTTCCCTCCGAATCAGAAAAATTTACTACAGGAGGACTATCGATATTTAAATAGTACATTAGATTTACACTACTAAAGTGATCATCAAAGGTGAGACAGTGCTGCTGGTGACCACGACCACATGGCTGGCCCAACTGGTCTTTAGAATACATTGCCACCTGGAACATCAACAGATTCACCATAACCATACTGTCCATCGTGAAAGATCACAACGTTACCATCGTACCACAACTTGTAATAAGCGTCTGAGTATATTCGATGCATAATAACAGTAGTACAAAAGAGATCGGGAGTGAGCGAGTCAATTGATCACTATAAATACACGGTCGTGGATCCAAAACATCACTTACCACCAAGCATTCCATCACCGTAAGAGTCCATGATTTTGAAAGTGTGAACTCCGTCGCTGCTCAAGCATTCCGTGGTGTCGACAATGATTTCGCCAGATGGATAGTTGCCTCCTTGAACTACAATATTGCCATTCGGATCTTCCACCTCCCAGCTCACCTCCTCGCCCCACTCGTCGGTTTGAAGCTGCAATCGAAACTCGTGGTTGCACGATCCAACTGTGGGGCTAGCGACGGGTGCTTGGTTGGGACTCCCGGATGGTGCCTCGTTCACCTGGCCACCTGGAACAGTCACTGATTCTCCATTGCCGTACCCTGAAGCACCACGATGAATCACAACATTCCCATCGTACCATATCTTGTAATATCCTCCTATTTTTTCAAAATAGGATCAAATCGTGAGTTAGTTCCCATGGCATCTGTATGATGTATGCCAAAACTCGGACCATCTCTTTGATTACGTACCACAACACATGCCATCACCATAGCTGTCCATGATCCTGAAAATGTGCACACCATCGCTCTGCAAACATTCGGTTACCTCGATAAAGTTCTCACCAGATGGATAGTTGTCTCCTTGGACGACAACGTTCCCACTGGGATCTTCCACCTGCCAGCTCAACTCCTCGCCCCACTCGTCGGTCTGAATCTCCAAACGAAACGCATGTCCATTGCAAGAGCCAGTGGGACTGTTGACTGGAGGAGAGTTGGGTTTGGATTTGGAACCGGCGCTGGAGTTGGCCCAGGAGATGGGCCCGGCGTAGGATTGGGGGTTGGCGGAGGAGTGGAATTCGGAATCGGGGCAGGAGTAGGATTGGGAGTTGGTCCAGGAGTTGGCGCATTTGTTGGCACCGGTGTAGGATTGGGAGTTGGTGCTGGAGTTGGAGGGCTGTTATTGTTCCCTCCCGGAAGTGGTACCACTTCCTCGCCCTCAAATTGACCATTCGACGAATACACCAGAGACCCATCAACGTAGAGTTCGTAGTTTCCAGCTGTACAGGTACAACACGACCAAGACATGAGAAATATACAAGAGGCATGAACGTGCTCAAGTCGACGATGCAGAAAGCTTACCTCCATACTCGCAGCAGATGCCATCATCATATGTGTCGCGAATGGTAAAAGTATAGTCAGTTCCGCTAGGTAGACAATCATCAATCTCAAACTTCGAGTTTGATCCATAACCATTTCCTTGAGCAATAGTGACGCCATTGGACCCAGTCACATCCCAGCTTGTCTCTTCCCCATATTCATCTGTCTGCAAGACCAAACGAAATTCGGAGCCAGCACATGGGGCGGATGTAGGAGCTACTGTTGGGGGGCCTGCCGTTTCCCGTGCTGTACAAGTGGAATCCTGAGCCTTCACTTCATCGACATAGCTTGTCATTCGGTTGATATTTTCTTGCTTGAAACTATCCGGTCGGTCTCCATAGCTCATGATGTATTGATCTTCCCCTAAGACGTGCTCTGCACCCAAACTGTGCCCCAATTCGTGAGTGACAAGCAAGACGTGTTCGATTAATGGAAATCCATTAGAAATACTATTGACACCAACAGAATAGTCATCACAGAGAGCGGCTAGATAAGCGCACCCAGCAGCATCCGTTGGATACGGGTCTCCTCCAAAAAACAAGTGCGTGCTATCACAGCCTTGAGGTGGCCTTGGGTTGAATAGACCTCTGAAATTGTCAAGCAAAGCAGTGCTGTCGTTGTCGTCACAAACTGTATTGCCGTTATCAAGCATATTGCGGTATGGATCAGCGTTCGCCGAACAGGACCCTTCAATGCTACAAAGTTCAACTTTCATGCACAGCGGTGCGACATTGAAGAAAGGATTCATCAGTTCGATGATCGTATTGCCAAATGCCACTGCTCCTTCAGGCGTTCCATTGCCGACCTCAGCGCAAAAGCGGCTGTCATACCGGACAGCCAACCGAATCACCTTGTACTCAGAACAAGCTTGTTGAAGTTGTCTATCAGCATGCTGCATAGGCGTAATATCTGCGTCGATGGTCGAAGTCGAGCTAATGTACAACAAAATGGTTCGCATCACACATGAGAAACAATGAAATAAGATAGATATCTTGTCATCTTCTTACATGTCAACTTACTTTAGTTTTCTCTGTCCATGGGATCGCTTCTTTGCATCACCACGAAAACGACGCTTGGTTTTCTTTTCCGGATCAACATCAATGTTCGCAATGGTCGTATAAATACATCCATGTTCTTCCAAATGCGGCATGGCAATTAGTTCTGTCCACTGCATGCTACCTTGGTTTAGTCGGGCTGCATGCGATGGCATCTTGTCGTCCAGATTCATCGTAACAATGATGGTGTCCTCATCTCCACAAGCGTGACTCTTGAAGACGTGCTTGCCGGAGGTAGGCTCGAGGTCTTTCAAAGCAAACGAAACTTCGCAGTCATCTCCGAGCCTAAATGTGTTGCCAGAAGTGCAGAGGTTCTGCAGTTTTGGCTGGAAGCTGTCCACAAGTCGATCTTTAGCACGGAGCTTTGAAAACTCCTTGTCCTTGATGTATCCACGGATGGAAGCAGCATAGCATGCAGAAAAGGTGAACAGCAAGAGAGTGACGAAAAGCTTCATGATGATGCTTTGGTTTCGTTCGGATTGTCAAATTGTGAGAGTTTCTCGAAAAGAATTATGATCGTGATCGCTCGACCGGTCTTGGGCGTTTCCCTTGGGCGTTTCTCTTTTCGCTACGATAATGGTATGAATGAATAGATGACGTGTCACATTTCACTGACGAACACTGCGATAATAACGGACGTGAAAGTCGACTTCTGTGCTGGTAATGTCACTGCCATGTAAGGTACAAGTATTGCTATCATGATGCCGTTTCCTGCTGTAAAAAAATCGCTTTCGGATGATTGAAGCTAGAGTTGCGATGAAAGTGTAAAGACTGGGACTTGTCTCCTCAGGAGAGTCATTTCGGATATCAGCCAGAAATCTGCCTGCAGTTGATCCAAATTGACACAGTCACCGCGAAGTGCAGCACCCGTCTAGACGCATCATGCATTAGCACACTTGAATTAAGCGTATCAAGGTGGGTCCTGCGGAATCGTAGTCCGATGTCGCGCCACCGTCTTGCAAATCTTCTGGTTGTTGAAAGTGACTGAGAAATTGCGGTATCTGGTTTCTAGGAAACACGACAACTCTCATGAGTGGTGGCTAGCATTTCAGGGAACTGGTCAGCTGGTCTCACAAGGTGTTTCAGGACGACTCGGAGTAAACAACGACGGGGTAGAAGGAGCGAACCAACTTCCATGAATCTTGTTGATCAGTTCTTGAGGAAAATGTTGGATCCATCCATGAATCAAGTCTTTCGATGCCAACGCACCAAAGCCATATTGGGTTGGAGTCGGGTTGCCACTCAATTTTGTCAACAAAGATTGGATGTTTCGAGCTGACGGTTGAGTGTAGAACCGCGCGCAATGTTGAAAGTGTTGGAATTGAAAATATTGTGAGTCATGATAAATGGATTTATGGGACTGCTTTAGCCCCTGATCAATCAACGCCAACCAAAAAAAAACGATGATGAGATATGACTGACTGACAAAAGCTGTTATTGCCCTCACCAATGCGTTTTACTCCCCGTCCCCATCACTTATGATACTGCTTCGCCAGTTACCCAAGACTCTCAAATCCTATTCAACACATAGACATCAGTTTTCCTCTCACTTCTTTCGAACGATGGCAAGCTCCAACAATAACCAAGATATGACGTTTTCATCATCATCCTCAGCACCGAAACCCAACGAAGAGAAAGCAATAGGAACGCCAGCAACACCTGTTCCACATACTGATCTTCCTCAAAACTCAATAAAGCCAACAACAATCAAATACATGTATTCGGTAGAGAACCAAAATGGGACTAACATGAAAGTCTTCATGCCATTGTACGTGTACCAAGAAATGGCAGCCATCCATCTGAAACAACAGCAACAGCAGCCTTCCAAACGACCTCGGATACAAAATCAGCCAAAGTCTCCAAAGAAACTTACGATGTCATCATCCGACGAAGTAGTGAATGATGTTCCTATTGGCACTGCTGCTGCTAATACTATCGCAACCACAAACGAATCATCTACTACAATGATTGAAATCCCAGAATCGGTACGGCAATACGAACGCCAATTGCGTAAAATGCAAGCGGCCACCCGAGCATCCACCGAATTGTCATCAGATGATCTGCAAATTGTGTACAATGATCCTCACATGGTCGTGGTGAACAAACCAAGTGGATTCTTGACGGTACCTGGAGTGAACCAAAATCCCAATCTCCTATCCTTGGTGTATGAAACACTTCAAGAACGAGACAAACAAGATGACGCTAAAATCTTGCAACAACTCGAAAAGATGGAACACATGATTGTGCATCGCTTGGATATGGATACTTCTGGGCTAGTCATTTTTGCCAAAACCAAGGAAAGCATGGCCCACCTTCAAGCCAGCTTTCGACAGGGAACAACGGAACAAACGGACAAACATCAATCCAAAAAGAACAGAAAGAAATGGAAGAAAAATACGAGTCCTCCTCCAGCAGTTCCCACCAAACCGATTCAAAAAGAATATGAAGCTCTCTTGTGTGGACACTTGACTCCTGATACTTTGCAAACCATTCAGATTGATTTGCCACTCCAACGCGATCACCAACATCCACCCTTCATGCGAGTGGCCACCCCTACTAGCGAACAAGAAGCACAGGAGGTTGTTGAAGGTCTGAAGCATGCAGGATGGAAAAAAATTGTGAAGAAAAAAGCCAAACCGAGTCAGACGATTGTGCAGGTGCTGCAGCGAGAATATGTGGTGCGCACCGAAGAAAAGGAAACAAACGACAATGGGATCAGCAGCAGTATGAATGGTGATGTTGACGACAGCCCTACAATAGGAGAGCAGCTACCAGTGACTCGCGTCCGGCTGGTTCCTCTCACTGGACGAACCCATCAATTGCGAGTTCATTGTGCTGCCATTGGGCATCCAATCTTGGCGGATCCGACCTATGGGATCTTGGGGGAGGCCGCGCCAAATGGTGGATTTGATGATACAACTATCGATCAATCTGTATCTGACACTGCTGATGATGACAAAAATAATGGTGTTGGTGATAGGAGACCTCGAGCTTCCACCAAACTCCAGCTCCAGTTGGATCAGTGGGTCAAAGATCATCATCAAGTCATGTGTCTCCATGCACGTAAACTTCAGTTAAATCATCCCATCACAGGAGAAGAACTATGCTTGGAGGAAGCACCAACATTTTGAACGAAAAAAGAGAGAAAACAAAGAAAAGCTAGAGCATATAAATCTACTACCAGGTCTCATTCAGTCATCGTCTTGTATTGTTGACATTTGGAGAAAGTCCTGTATTTAGTACTGAATAATTGAGTTATTATGATTCCAGAACTCTCGGTAGATGGGTGGGCGCCAGATACAATAGCACTTTTTAGAATACATTGCCACCTGGAACACTAACAGATTCACCATAACCATACTGTCCATCGTGAAAGATCACAACGTTACCATCGTACCACAACTTGTAGTAAGCGTCTGAGTATATTCGATGAATATTACCAGCACCACAACAGAGAGGATGAGTGAGTGAGTCGACCGTTCAATAAACGATGTACAAATTTGGATCCCTATGCACTTACCACCAACCATTCCATCACCGTAAGAGTCCATGATTTTGAACGTGTGGACTCCATCGCTGCTCAAGCATTCCGTGGTGTCGACAAAGTTTTCGCCAGATGGATAGTCGCCTCCTTGAACTACAATATTGCCATTTGGATCTTCCAACTCCCAGCTCACCTCCTCGCCCCACTCGTCGGTTTGAAGCTGCAATCGAAACTCGTGGTTGCACGACCCAACTGTGGGGCTAGCGACGGGTGCTTGGTTGGGACTCCCGGATGGTGCCTGGTTCACCTGGCCACCTGGAACAGTCACTGATTCTCCGTTGGCGTACTGGCCGTCATGAGCAATCACAAGATTCTCATCGTACCAGAGCTTGTAGTAAGCACCTACATTTCACAAATTCAAAGTCAAATCAATCAGCAAAAATGATGAAAAACTCAGATCTCTTCGTATACATACCACAACACATGCCATCACCATAGCTGTCCATGATCCTGAAAATGTGCACACCATCGCTCTGCAAACATTCGGTTACCTCGATAAAGTTCTCACCAGATGGATAGTTGTCTCCTTGGACGACAACGTTCCCACTGGGATCTTCCACCTGCCAGCTCAACTCCTCGCCCCACTCGTCGGTCTGAATCTCCAAACGAAACGCATGTCCATTGCAAGAGCCAGTGGGACTGTTGACTGGAGGAGAGTTGGGTTTGGATTTGGAACCGGCGCTGGAGTTGGCCCAGGAGATGGGCCCGGCGTAGGATTGGGGGTTGGCGGAGGAGTGGAATTCGGAATCGGGGCAGGAGTAGGATTGGGAGTTGGTCCAGGAGTTGGCGCATTTGTTGGCACCGGTGTAGGATTGGGAGTTGGTGCTGGAGTTGGAGGGCTGTTATTGTTCCCTCCCGGAAGTGGTACCACTTCCTCGCCCTCAAATTGACCATTCGACGAATACACCAGAGACCCATCAACGTAGAGTTCGTAGTTTCCAGCTGTACAGGTACAACACGACCAAGACATGAGAAATATACAAGAGGCATGAACGTGCTCAAGTCGACGATGCAGAAAGCTTACCTCCATACTCGCAGCAGATGCCATCATCATATGTGTCGCGAATGGTAAAAGTATAGTCAGTTCCGCTAGGTAGACAATCATCAATCTCAAACTTCGAGTTTGATCCATAACCATTTCCTTGAGCAATAGTGACGCCATTGGACCCAGTCACATCCCAGCTTGTCTCTTCCCCATATTCATCTGTCTGCAAGACCAAACGAAATTCGGAGCCAGCACATGGGGCGGATGTAGGAGCTACTGTTGGGGGGCCTGCCGTTTCCCGTGCTGTACAAGTGGAATCCTGAGCCTTCACTTCATCGACATAGCTTGTCATTCGGTTGATATTTTCTTGCTTGAAACTATCCGGTCGGTCTCCATAGCTCATGATGTATTGATCTTCCCCTAAGACGTGCTCTGCACCCAAACTGTGCCCCAATTCGTGAGTGACAAGCAAGACGTGTTCGATTAATGGAAATCCATTAGAAATACTATTGACACCAACAGAATAGTCATCACAGAGAGCGGCTAGATAAGCGCACCCAGCAGCATCCGTTGGATACGGGTCTCCTCCAAAAAACAAGTGCGTGCTATCACAGCCTTGAGGTGGCCTTGGGTTGAATAGACCTCTGAAATTGTCAAGCAAAGCAGTGCTGTCGTTGTCGTCACAAACTGTATTGCCGTTATCAAGCATATTGCGGTATGGATCAGCGTTCGCCGAACAGGACCCTTCAATGCTACAAAGTTCAACTTTCATGCACAGCGGTGCGACATTGAAGAAAGGATTCATCAGTTCGATGATCGTATTGCCAAATGCCACTGCTCCTTCAGGCGTTCCATTGCCGACCTCAGCGCAAAAGCGGCTGTCATACCGGACAGCCAACCGAATCACCTTGTACTCAGAACAAGCTTGTTGAAGTTGTCTATCAGCATGCTGCATAGGCGTAATATCTGCGTCGATGGTCGAAGTCGAGCTAATGTACAACAAAATGGTTCGCATCACACATGAGAAACAATGAAATAAGATAGATATCTTGTCATCTTCTTACATGTCAACTTACTTTAGTTTTCTCTGTCCATGGGATCGCTTCTTTGCATCACCACGAAAACGACGCTTGGTTTTCTTTTCCGGATCAACATCAATGTTCGCAATGGTCGTATAAATACATCCATGTTCTTCCAAATGCGGCATGGCAATTAGTTCTGTCCACTGCATGCTACCTTGGTTTAGTCGGGCTGCATGCGATGGCATCTTGTCGTTCAGATTCATCGTAACAATGATGGTGTCCTCATCTCCACAAGCGTGACTCTTGAAGACGTGCTTGCCGGAGGTGGGCTCAAGGTCTTTCATAGCAAACGAAACTTCGCAGTCATCTCCGAGCTTAAATGTGTTGCCAGAAGTGCAGAGGTTCTGCAGTTTTGGCTGGAAGCTGTCCACAAGTCGATCCTTAGCACGGAGCTTTGAAAACTCCTTGTCCTTGATGTATCCACGGATGGAAGCAGCATAGCATGCAGAAAAGGTGAACAACAAGAGAGTGACGAAAAGCTTCATGATGATGGTTTTGTTCCCAAGATATTTTGGATATTCAAATTGTGAGACGAGGGGTTTCAACTCTCTCTGTCACATTTTTGGTGGTATACTGAATGTCCAAGAGCCGAAGATCTTGAGTGTTTCTCTGCAATCATAGTGTAATTAAAAGGAGCAAGATCTTTGATCTTGGGCGTTTCTCTTTTCGCATTTATATATTGATGACGTGTCTCACGTTTGTCGCTTACACTGATAACGGACGGACCACAAGATCAGCCTCCAAGTTTTGTACCCACAATAATTAAAACAGTACCAGGTACTACATGCCTACCGGTACCATTGGTCGGTAGGTCTTTAAAGTGGCAGGCCAAAGAGTCTCCATCACCTTCCGTGAAACCTAGATATAGGCATCGTCGCCAAAAAATAATGCGAAACAATCATTCTGAGAGACATAATTGTTGAATGAATTATGTTTGTTCTTGGTCTTGGCCTTGCATGTTGGTCTTGAGTCTTGGTCTTTGGACGAAAGGTTTCTCCGTTTCATTCTACCGGATTTTATCAACTATCAGCCAATTGGACCAATTGCAGGCAATTACTTGTCGGGAGAGTCTCTCCCCACCCTCATCTCGAAACTTCAGCCTAAATCCTAAAGCAATCCTCCTAAAAAGACGAAATCATGAAATCAATAATTGAAAACCAGTGGCACTGTCTCAACCGTAATCGTCTGAAGCTCGGCAAAGACTATCTAGCAGTGCCAAAATAACTTTTGTGTTGGGGGCAGTGTGCATGTTCGGACTGTTCCATCGTAATATGTTGCCTTGACGTAATGTACCCGTGAAGTGCAGAGCTCGTCTGGACGTACTAATCAGCGCACTAGCCAGCGAATACACCAAGCTGGGGTGAAAACTGTGGTCCGAATTCGGAGCCACAGTCTTGACAAATTTTCATCTGCTGAACGGCTTGAGTTCACAAGAATGCCGTGTGTGACGAATGTCCTCTCATGGGGCTGACCAGCTGGTGTCACAAGTTTTATCAATGCCTCTTGCAGTAGCTTGTTCTTTCATCGAAAAAGCCAAGCTGTAGGGGCTTCATCATTGACATTTTTGGCTGCTGGTGGCTCTTGAAGAATCATCAATCTCACATGATGTTCATCCATTATGCGTCAGCAAAATACCAGAAGTCCGATGCCGTAGTTCTTCACGATGGACACCTGTCGATCTTTTGGACAGCACGAATGTATCGCGGTAAATCCAGCTCAAACCAGCAACTCGAATACAAATCAAGTCTGTTTGGTAGTTTCAATGCAACTGGTGAATTAGTTCACCAAATGTCTTGATAAATCCTACATCAAGGCCAAAAAGGATTCATTGCCTCTATTCCTGTAAATCCAGTGTTTCCACCCAAAGCATTCTTGATTGTGTGGACGACAAGGTTTCTATTTCAACATGCAACTATTCGTCCCAACAATGGACCTTCTAACGTAAGCGGTCGAACCAATGGACTCAATAGTGGCTCCATGAACGACGGTAGGGCGACCGTCATCTCAGTATTGCACCAGCAACCCCCTGTAAGTCCGATCTACACATATCGAACTTGTGTGCAAGTATACTGACAGAAAGATAGAGTTATTTCTTACCAGAGTCACTCCAAGAAACACCAAGCAGAAGAACCCGAAAAGAAGGCGCCAGTTGGCTATCTTCGATAGGTTTTGCTACAGTATTTATACAGTAATAGATTATTGCGCTGGGGGGGGAAAAGGTATTGCTTTCTAATCATAGTAGTCGATTCGATGTCCGAATCCTTGACCTATAAAATGGTCGTTCGTGGTTACGTTTATAGTCGGAGCCAGTCCCGACTCCCACTTATGAACCATGTCTCATCAACTGATGTGTAATCGTGTCTTTTGCGGAAGATAGTGAACCACTTTTTGCCAACGCAATCATTCATCAAACTCATTTTATACCATGTCTTTTCATTTTGGAGAACCAACTCAAAGAAACGATAGAAGAAAACGTCGTCGACGTTCGTTTGTCGACCACGCCATGACCGTAACGGTTTCTGATGAACAACAATCACAACACCATCCAAATCAGTTGTCACTCACATATTCATCACAATCGCCAACGTTATTGTCGACGGGGGCCCAAAATTTATCCATATCAATACCAACCGCGAGTTTCGATGACACCCATTTTCCGGAGGGCTGTACTCCTATTCACCGAGGACAGCACAAACCCAGTGTCAAGGAGGCCGTCGTCTCTTATCATGGTGGTTTAGCACAACAACTGAACAAAGAAGGGGTCCAATGCATCCATCGTGGACTATATGAAGAGGCTGTTTCCAAAATTGCTAGAGCTATCCAGTTATTTCACTCTGATGGTGACTTGTCTAACAGGTCCTCCATCTCTCTCGGTGCAATCCTGAATCATCACTTCCAACAGCCATCTCCTGGGAGCTCGACACCATCATTGACAGAAACAAATCCAGATGATATTGACGACAGGAATGACGTGGAAACCTCTAGAGAAAGAGATGTGTCTGATGATACTGACGGTGATTTTGTTTACAGCAGTGGGATCATGTTGCCGTCAAAATTCCAATCTCATGCAACGGGAGAAACCCTTCTTGTTGTTCTTTCCTTCAACCTGGCACTTGCTCATCATCTGTCCTGGACTACCAGGGAGGCTGCTTCGGATACATTGAGATTAAGCCATATGGTTCAGTTGTACGAGCTAGCTTACAGGCTTGCATTTCAAATCCAGGCCAACAGCTCCGACGATGACATTTCACCTGAATTCAGTGAAATCTGCAATATGAGATTCACCTTGATCATCATCAACAACTTGTCACAAATCTATCAAGCTTTAAATGGTGAAGACAATTACCATAGGGTATTGGAAGGTCTGCTGAGTCATTTGATGGTGGTAGCCGTCGTGCAACAACAACACTCAAGATTCGCCACTGCAGATCGCAACAGAGGAGGGGTGGATAGATACGGTGCAGCAAGCATTGCAATCAACCTGGATGGATTCTTTCAAAATGTTTTGCCATTGCTATTGAAAAGAAATAGTGCTGGAGCAGCCTAATCAAGAGATGTGGGTGGGCTTTCTTTGGGTCCCTGTCGCCAATTGTCTCTTGCTGTCAGGAAACTAGAGTTATTTAATTCGCTGCGTCCCTTTCACCAGCCTTTAGTAAAGAAACCTACGGTAGTCCTAGAGATATCTGTGCTACACACATATATTATGCCAATTGTGTTGTCAAATCTTCCTTTATCATTATTATGTTCAAAATTAGTATATATCTATTGCATGTATTTTTTTTCAATTTCCCCGCCCCATTATGCGAGCACGATTCGTGTTCGTACTTCGTTCATCAACTTTAGTTTCTCGCACATGGCACGGGTGGCAAGCATGTACTTTTCTACGTCTTGCTCGTCATCCATACCACGTTTCTGGGCCTCAATAGACGATGCCATAGCAGTGGCCCGGTACATTATTCTCAGTTTGTCATCATCGTGGTGTCCCTCCTGTCGTTGCAGTCCTTGCTCGGCAAAGACGCTGAGCCATCCATCAAACTTGGAGTCTCTTCTTCTGTGTGGGCACATGAGAGACTCCAGACCTCTGCTGCAAAGTGCACGACCATTGTGGTCTTCACCGCGCATTACCTTTTGGGCAATAAGGTGGCATCGTTTTTCAATCCGAATGTATTCGGAAGCTTGGAACCACAAGGATTCCTTGTCGTGAGTGAGTTTGTAGACTGGAACGACGTGTCTGACCTTGACAGAGTTTTTGAAGGAAACACACGTTCGCTTTCGTACTGGTGAGCCGAGCATAGGTAGGTTAAGTTCCATTTCTCCTGTCTGCTTGATGCTCGCTCGGCGTTTGCTTCCTCTTCTCTTGAGGCAGCTTCGTCTAATAGGGTTAGCTTGCGATTCTGGGATGATGTCTACCTTCATCTGTCTGAAGCTGCTGTCTATAGCAGGGACATCCAGGCCTGTATCCCAGCTGCTAAAGCTGCTCGACTCCGAGAGGCTCAGAGGATCTTCTGAGTGATCAGTGGTCTCGTCTTCGGTTTCCGAGCATTCGTGCTGCTTGCACGGTATGGACATCATGGTGAATGGATTCACTGTTTGTGGCTTGGTTCGTTTCAATACTGTCATTTTGCTTTGTAGAAAGAGTAGAAGGATATTGATCTTCGTGCAAAAAAATTATGTCGAGAGAGGTGCGTTTTTGTGGCGAGAGAATATGATGTTCTTTTTGACATTTGGAGATCGGTTTCGCTTGGTACGACATCCTAGTACAGAAGTCTACGGCCTGCGGGAATTGATACCGGATCTTCGGTTTGGAAGCGCACGTTTTTTTTTGGGAAGTTGTCAATGCCGTGCACAAGGCACACTTCTGTTCTCGCGGACTTAACACTCCTGTTCGAGACTGATAAAAGGACGAACCATTGACCCCCAAGGAAGTCGCCAGAGAATGACGTTTCGAATAAACCAAAAACTGCTTAGTGTTTACGAACACGAGTGATAAAAAAGGAAGAACCATCGACCCCCAAGGAAATCCCAGAGAATGAGGTTCTTTTCACATCAATTATCAAGATGACGCCAGATAGCCAAATAGCCCAAAAACCTGTTTAACATTTACGAACACTCTATAAGAAGGCGCTAAATGTGTTAAAAGAAACAGGGATGACGCAAAGCGCCCATTTAAAGATTTGGTGGACTGAGTGCCGGTTCGCGAGAGAAATGTCTCTTGTGTTCGTTGTTTCCATCAGAAAATGATCACATCCTACTCCAAAAGTATCGCTATGGTCCCGTTGCCTTGATTCCTGCCCGGATACTCCCTCTTCAGAAGTTCGCCGTCAGTTCTTGTCAGGATACTTCTGCTATGCTTCTTGTGCTGCCGCAGGAGAACTCGGAAGCGATTAAGAGTATCCATTGCGTCAGTATAGCAACCTATCAAATGCCGTTGCTTTTTGGAATCATGCAGCAGAGAAAAGGATCGTCGCCCATGCAACATTCTCTGATTATTGAATACCAGGATTTCCCCTTCGTTCAGAGCATATTCCCAAGTGTAACGCTGGGCATAGCTGTTCAGCTCTCGTTCCAGTGACTGTGGAAGCATGCTACCTGACGATGCGTGACTGTCGATTAGGCACTCCATTGCCTGATACGCCATCGTGTAATCATCCATCAGCCGTTCTTGTTCCTTAAAACCCATGGTTGGTGGCAATAGCAATGGTCCTTCAAATGGTGGTGACCAATTGATCTCAATGATTGACTGGTCATATGAAGACACCACGATATGAGGTTTGGCACTGACCATATCAGCACCTTCTCTTTGCTTGCAAAACGTTGCTTCCACCGAACACAGTATCTCGAATAAATCAGGTGCCAACCTTCTCAATTCCTCCGCTGCCGCCATTGCGTCAATCAAGATTGATTCTCCTCGTCCTGTATTGTCGTCTCCCTCGTGCAATGGTGCATTTTGGATGCAATGCAACAGTTGCAAGAATGGCTTGGATTCATAATAGGTCAAGTCTTGATGCGGGGGCAAGGCTTGCGAAGTGTAAGCAATGTTGTGTGCACCGGGCATTGATTTGACGTGAAAGACATCGCCATATAAGGAGCCATGAGAAAGGCGGCTGTTGCAAATACGCCGTCCCAAGTTGGCCACAATTGCTTCATTGGGGTCCTCGTTTTGAGATTTAGCAAGTGTATCCTCGGTAACTGCTGGAGCATTCTGTATCAAGACAGCTCCATGCTCCATTATATTTCCTAGTACGTTACAAACCATCGAGCTGGATGCGTCGTCGGTGGTCATAACTTCTTCATAGTCAAACTTTGGAATGGAAACTCCAGCAGTGTCGTCGTGCATCGCCCCAATAGCGACATCCTTTGTAACTCTTCGACTGGAGCTATTATTGTTCGGAGAAGCGAATCGAGCTAACCAGTCAACATCGTAGTATGATATTTCACCTGATTCCCAAACAACCTTCAGTCTCTCTTTGCTTTCTTCTTGCTGAACGGCCTGAGAAACGAGACCCTTTGGATGCAAGGATCCTGGTGGAGACGGCGGAAAATCGCATTCGACATCTGAAATCAATGCAATTTTAGCCGAGGCAATGGTGCATGTATTGACATCCAAATCTCCCAATGAGCGAAGCCTTTGTCCAGAGGATGGGTGGCAATATGTGGGATCGTTCACCCAAAGCCAAGCTGCATGGAATGTACCATCAACAATGATATGATCATGTGATATTGATATCAGTTTACCATTTTTGCTGATTTCGACTGTTCGTTCAGATTGCCCCTCACCGTCAAAAGCAGCAGAGGAAGCCAAGGATCTGCTAATTTCTTTCTTCGTCAATGAACATTGTCGGATATGACTGAAAGAGTCGTGACATGGGTTGACGCTTGAAAGTTTTGGCGTCTGAGTTGTGTGGCAGTTGATATTACTTGGAAAACGTACTGCTGCTGAAGCCAGGCTGTGGGTACTTCGACAACTTGATGTGCGTGGTGATGGTAGGATAGAAAGTGGCTTTCTACTCCGCCTTGTGAAACAGATGACAGTCTTTGTCATTGATGCGAACCCTAAGATTTTGCTTTCTCACTTTGTTTTATGCGTTGGAAGAAAACGATTGAAGATTTGCCTTTCAGAATTGGTGTCATGTGTCTGTGACGCGTCCGATATATTATAAGGACTTCAAAAGCTCTACGGTACAGTATATTCCTGTTCTCCATCCTCTTTTCTTTTTTTTACAGCACCAAAAGAATAACCGCATCATCTTCTGAAATAAGACATGGCACCTGAAGATTCAAACATGGCACTGTCCATGCATGTGCTCTTCCCTGTTCTCCCTTCTGTCTTGAACGATTAATCCATTCGCTCGTCTGCGCTGTGATCATGAATAATGAGAAAAAGGAGATAAGAATACGACCGCTGGAGACATGATCGTAACATGCAAACAAGAAAGAGAGTGACAATAATATTCAAGGCTATATGGCTATTCACAGTTTCTAGTTCTAAAGGTTCATTGACATCAAATGATTTACGTATACAGAGAGAAGAAATCATAAATCTCTCAGTAAACCCCGGTCAGTTGGAAAGCACCTCACCATGTTTCGAAGGTATATTGATCCTTCAATCCAAAGTCCCCATCACCACGAATCACCAAGGCGCCATCCAAATAGACTTGAAAGTACCCATCACCATGTTCCCCGGTGATGCCATCCATGCCTGTATCGCGAATGGTGAACTTGTACCGATCACTAGGAATACAGACGGACAGCTGGTAAAAGGTATTGTCCTCATACGTGTTGGCTTTGACTTGCATAAAGATTTGGCCATGCCCATCTTTCATGATCCAAAAAGTCTCGTGACCATTGCTGTCCGTTTGCAAGTCTAGAAGGAAACGATGGGAGTCCAATGGGCATGGCTCATATTCCTTTGGATTCTTGTAAAGATCTATGACAGTCGGATGTTCGCTGTAATCAATGCTACTAATAAGTGTCGGGCGGGGTGTTGGATTCGGTGTTGGGTCCAAAGTTGGGTTTTCACTCTTTTGGGCAGTAGGATGTGTGCTATCCTCAACGGTTGGAACTGGTGTCGGGCGGGGTGTTGGATTCGGTGTTGGGTATGGTGTCGGCTTTGAAGTTGGCCGAGGAGTTGGATTTTGAGTCGGTTGTGGAGTTGGACTCTGGGTTGGTCCTGGTGTGGGTGGAGGAGTTGGATTTGGTGTCACAACCTCTGCAGGACCCAAAAATTCCTTGATATCGTTGAAAATGGAATAAATGGGGACTGCAACATTTCCAATGGAGCAGCCACCACCGCAGTGATGAAGGCCAATCACTTTGTGGGTATCAACCGACAGGACAGGAGAACCAGAAGTACCGCCTTTTGTATCGCAAGAATACGAAAGGTCCCAGTACCCCGTGTTGAGTCGTCCAAAACAGGTTTCCGAATTGGTTGTTTGGATTTCGCACCGGGCTCCTTCGCCAATGTGGCTGTCAAAAATAGCAATTTCCTTGTCGAGTCCACCAGGATGTTGGGGGATGTAAATGTTTTCACCGACATTGGGCTTGCGATTGTCGAGCTCCAAGTACCTAGAGTATTTTAAAAAGAAGTGCAGAGCAAGAGGTGAGGAAATGTGACTTCGACAGTTGCAAGGAAATCAACAGGTATTATCAACTTACCCATGCTTGCTAACTGGATTTCCAGCCAATTTGATCAAGACGTAATCATCAATGTCACTGGCAGCTAAAAGCTCGGTTGCCTCATAGGTAATTTCGGAAACGGAACGTTCCTTGATATTGGCACTGTTGCAGTCACCTCCTCCTTCGACTTCAAAATCAAAAATGTAATCTGAAGTCAAGGCCTCTTCATCTGTTCGAATGCAGTGACGATTCGTTACAAAGACATTATTGGGGCCCACCAACCATCCAGTGCAGACCCCAGTACCATGAATGTGTACCTTGGCAACGGCACCAGCCAGATTGTATTCTGTAGGAAAATCCGCCTCGTAACACTGGGCATTGCGCATGTCATTGGTTCCACAAATGGAAAGTTCTCTTCCGTCCCTTCCAATGAATGGAGGAGGAAAGGAATTGTCAGTAGTTTCACTACCACGACGAAGACTGCGCTTTCTTCCGCGAGAGTCACGCAAAGCATCCTCTGGAAAACCAGCGGCGTATTCATCGACTTCGAATTCGGCACTGGTTTCCCAATCTTCACACGCCAAAATAATCTCAATGGAATCCCCGTAAATGTGATGATCCCAAAAGGTTCCAAGGTCTTGACGTCCCTTGCCAGTGTAAGAATGGCTCATGTCACCTCTGGAGGCCTCTTGAATGGTAATCGAGCATCCTTCGCCAAGATTCATGTGCTGAAAATGCACGGCAATGTACGAGGCACCCGGATGATAAAAGGAATAGGTTTTGGAAATCTTGCTCAACTCGCGAACGATGGTGGGTTGGATTTCCGAATAGGCATTGGAAGAAATGACAATGGGTTCATGACTTCCAATTTGCAAGATTCCAGGACGACGAAGGGCGCCCTCATCGAGAGCAGCTGCAGCACCGCAGATGAATGCTGCCGACGCGAGAAGTTGGATTATGATGGCTTTCAAGAGGAAAGAGCTTTGCATTGTTCAATGTTGCAAGAGATTGCTTCGCAAAAAGAGTTTCAAACAGGAAAAGAGTGTGCTTTGCCAAGAATGGATTTTATGGCCAATTGTCATACAAGCTTCCCAACGATCGGTTGGTCTTGTGCGTTCGTTCAAACTCTTTTCTTTCTGTCGAGGTTAGTTTGACTCCAGTTTTTTCAAAAATAACAATCTTTGTGCGCCATCTCAACGCGCGCAAGTGGCAGTTTTGGAATAGTTTGTCACATCACGAATGACAAACATGGTTGTCACACAATGGATTCCATGTTTTAAACTTGTGTGTCATTGTTTAGAGTTGTTTGGTTCGTACAAGTACTTTGTAAACTATACCTCTTTGTGTTGAAAACATTATGTAGAGAAGATATACATGATGTGGATGTGATGTGAAATTCAAAATGAATCAATCAATCAATCTTTCACTAATCGACTAACACGAACGAAAACTCTACTCCCTTTCTCTTCCTCCCCAACAGCAAGATGATGACAATGATGGAAAAAATGACGGGATACAGTAGCGCTGAAGTAAAAAGTACCTATTGCATGCAAAATCAATACGACCATTAGCTCTCCAACATCCTTCAAGATAGATTCGATAGCAGCGCACTCAATGCTGCAAGGAAAATGCCTACAAGATTGCCCGTGCATCGGAAGCGACCTGCAAAGGCATCAAAGGGAACAAGGACATTGAACCATGTCCTCTTGGCAATCTCCCTGTCGTTGATTGTGGGACTCCTCGTATTGAATTCTTCCTTTATTCATCATCATCCATCGGAACAGCCCTTTGGACATCAAGATTTGATGATTCCAAGGCCATTGGGGACTCTGCAAGACAGGATTCTTCCCGATTGGTACTTGACAACTGAGTGCTCCATCTACAGCATTGATTGTGTGTCGCGAGAGACAAAGAGAAACAACTATCAGTCTTATCCGTTTCCTTTGGTGAACCCCAATTTGAAGAATGGGACCTTACCAAAAGACAATGTCATTTGGAAACCCGCTCGGACCTTTCCAACCTTCCAAAAGAAAAAGGAGAAGTCTGCAACCGAAATCAACAAAGTTGAGGTTACGCCTCACAAGGACGCCCAAACTTGTGTACAAAAGGCTACAACAAGGTCACTGAAGGAACAATTGGATGACCTTTTACCAGCATACAATGATTTCAAACAAAAGGACGACCACATGAACGAACGAATCGTATATACCATTTCTGACTACTCGTACGCCAAAGACATGATAGATGATGCTTTTTACATGGCACGAGTTATCATGAAGCTCGATTACTTCTTTCTCGTGGCAATGGACAAGGCGACTATTCAGCTTGCTTGTGATCGGGGGTATCCAGTCATGGGATGGCCCCAATTGCCGGCCAACATGATGCCAGAGTACAACTCGACAGATGCTGATAGCTACAAATCTACCAAGAAGGTTGCCGACGTGGCCTTGTCCAAGTGGTTGATTGCTCTAGAAATCTTGGAGCGTCAGTTTCCACTCTTTTTCTTTGAAATGGACGTCTGGTTCTTGAAGTCCCCAAAGTCATTATGGAAAGACCAAGATGTCGATGTCATTTTCAGTGGGCATGCTGACAATCCCAACTATGTTAATATTGGAATCTACAGCGTCTTGCCGACTCCAAAGGCAAGGGAATATTTTGAGATTTGCATTGATCTTTTCAAGCAACGGCCCAAAGTACACGACCAATTGATCATGATGCAAATTCTGTACTGGGAGATGGCGGCAAAAAAGGGCGAAGAAATCAAATGGCGCAAGAATATGGGAAACATCAAGGATGTGTGGGGGCTTCCACCACCAGAATTCCCAAAGTTTCCAAATGGGTACGTCACTCATGGGAGATTTCCCATTTGGGCCATTGTGAGTGGGGAACGACCAATATTAAGCGAACAAATAGTTGCCATTCATGTGCTATGTGGCAAACCATTGACGGCGCCGCATGGCAAGAAACAAATGGCCAAGGAGATGGGAGCATGGATCGGCAGCAATGGATACTACGATAGTGCCGATGCCAAGTATTTGTGGGTTGATGGACACATTTTCAATGCGATCAGTATGACCATGACGCATTCAGGAAGACATGATTGGTACCATTACCATGACATGCAAATGCTTCGATGGACGATCGCATGTACAATTGCATTGGCAAACCATACTGGTCGGATTTGGGTCATGCCTAAAGGTAAGTGAGGAATGTGTAGCCAGCAAAATGATGATTTGCACACGATTGCAATCTAACAGACACAATCAATCATCCCAGTCGTCAACAACCGTGGGTTGAATTTCCTATGGTCCATTCTAGATATGGAAACAGTAGAACCCTTTGTTGAGGTTCGAGAAACCAACTTTCCTTCCAATCCTCAAACCTGGAAGACGACGCAACGGTACAATCCCACCAGTCGCATTGCGATTAGTGGAGATGAAAAAGTGACCATTCAGCTCTACCAACAATACAATGCTTGGTCTACAAAATCATGGCCCGAAGCTTGGGATTTCCCATACCAGTCGGCATCGGATTCCATGGAAAAGTGGTTTGCACTTGCCGATCTTAGCAACGATGCTCGGCTTTTACTGGCTGGACTCCCCGCCAGTAGAGGCTTGCTCCTCCCCATTATTCGACTCTACGACAAGCTCAAGAAGGAGCGTACCAAGTTGTCATTCGTTGACTTGAAAACCATGTCCGAAACAGACGTTCAAGATTTTTTCAGAAAGGAAGGGATTCAATTCTTTGACGTCCAAGGCAACACCACCTTTGATCCATCCGTGCCCGTGGACAATATTTTGCGTGTCTATGATAGCTTGAAATGGTGCAAGCACACGTTTGATGATGCGGGTTTGTTGGAACTCTTGCCCTCCCGAGTCACGGCGAGCAGTGACTGTTATGGCCAAGGAAAGCCTTCGAAATAACATGACTACAATACGATAGAATAGTATGGTTTATATGTGTTTGGTTTGTAATATGGAACTATTGGTTTCTTTATATTGATGGTACATACATTTGACCTGTGCACTCAAAATTGTTTTGAACTGTGCAGGATCTATGCCGCGTGTGTTGCCACATTTATCGTTGCAGGTGGGGTTTGGAGGTTGGGCAAGAGAGCCTGTGTCTTTTCTGGTCCATGGATCTCCAAATCCATCATTTGATGAAGATGCAACAAATTGTTCTCCAAACAACTCGTGTCGAGAACATCTGAACCGTACGTGGAGTGGAGCCTTCTTGCTTGCAAGTAGAGATTTCGGCTCTGGCGAAGCATCGAAACATAGGACTCGCCGTCATGCAATTGATTAGCATGCAAATGAAAGGCGAGTGCCAGATTGTAAGTCATGATGACAAGCAAGTTGAAGTGATAAGGACAGGGGCAGCCGCGGAGTCTTCGGATGCGGCCTTCTGATTCTCGATTCAGAAAGACATCATCAAGTGGAATTCGAATGACGCCCATTTGTTCCCGCTTCAGACGACAAGGAATGTTGACTTTGCTTTCAACATCGTCGTGTTGACTTAGACTGATATCGTATTGCATCAATATACCTTCCAACCCTTGAAAGCCCTCCAGCCAGGACTGGATCGCATCTACAAAGTATCCGGCTCTTAGGAAGCGGACACCACATTGGTGCCACTTGAGACAATGAAGAAACATGTCTTCATCCCTCATTTCTTGGTGACTAAACCCCTCGGTGGACTGATGGTAATGCATGTTGTTGTGCTTTGTTGCTATTGCCGATGTTGTTGTAAAATAAAAATGCACTTGCAGCTGGTTTCAAACGGCAGTAGTACTGGTACTGTAGGCGAAAACCAACAAGGAGCGTAGAGAGGCAAATGGGAACTTTCTCTTTGAAGTTGAAGGCTTATTTAACACCGTTCCGGGACTTCAACTTGAACTTCTGATCAAGCGCATGATGAGTAGAAACGTACGTCAGGAACGGCCCGGAAATAGAAATTTAGCATACAATTCTTGGGAGTAAATATTGATTTTCCTGGCCGTCCCGACTGAAACTACAAAACCCTAATTGACTGATCAAACAAAGTACGTTTTTGATACATCACGGGCAAGTTCATTTTCAAGCAAGCGTCACTTTTTTAAGATTTTTTTATATTTTGCTCAATGTTCGCTTGCAAACGAGGCAGCACTTCAAGTTCGGATGTTTACATCACCAGAGGGGAAGGTATTTTACAGTAGAGAATCAAAAGCAGTCTCGTGCTCTTTGTATTATTATCTATATTATTTTATCATGATGCTCTATCTCCCCTCCATACCATTCATTGCCATAGTCCTCAAATTCAGCGTTATTGCAGGTTCATCTAATAGCTTTAGTGTCTCTTTTAGCTGAGGTTGACTCTCCTCAAATCTTGCTATTTTGTGGTCCTGGGGGAGAGATGGAATGCCTTCGCCTGAGCGAGTTGAACTTAACAGAAACTACAATTTCCCCGGAATCCTCGTCTTCTGCTCTGAACCGGAGCTCATGCCGCTAACATATGCTCCTGAACGATGGTGTTTCCTTTAATGATGCGTTCTCATACCTGTTCCCATACGGGTTTATTAATTATAGATAGCACCTGTGACTTGGAATCCTCGTCTTCTGCTCTGTACCGGAGCTAATGCCGCTAACATATGCTCCTGAACGATGGTGTTTCCTTCAATGATGCGTTCTCATACCTGTTCCCATACGGGTTTTTTAATTATTGATAGCACCTGTGACTTGAACTACTGCCGATCAGAATAGTTCAATGAACACTCATGGTTGCACGAACTAAAAGAACCATCGGAAGGTATTTTAGAGTGGTTCCTGGTACCAACTGAAACAGTACCATTACCCGGCCCCGATAAGTGTCTTGCTCGCAGTGGCACCTCTTGTACCTGGCACCTACCTAGCACCTAGCACCTAGCACCTAGCACCTAGCACCTAGCACCTAGCACCTAGCACCTAGCACCTGTTGTTCAGATCGTTCTTCCAATGATCGTCCTCATGTGTACACTCACCGCATTGTCCTCTTGTCCTCCTCAAGTTCAGTGTTCTTGCATCATCTTCATCCTTTCACCTGAATAAAATGTCGATGGTCTGAGGTACACCAACAGTAGTACTCTACAGCCGAATTTCATCTAAGTACCGGCGCCTAGTACCGTACCATATCAATCGCAGTCGTCTGAGTTCTCCTGTAGTAGCTGATGAGAACTGCAAGTATCCCCGGAACCCGCTTCTTGAACTTGCCCTAGCAAATGCTGGAAGATGTTCAACTTGTTCCCAGCATCATTGCATGTGGGAATACAGTCTGTCCTACTGCTGGTGCTGGGCAGCATCAAGCTGCTAGCTAGTAGTACCGGTAGCGACTGAACGAGTTCTGTACTTGGACAATATGTACCGGGAATACTGTCTGTCCTACTGCTGCTGGCTGGGCAGCAACAAGCTGCTACTGTAGTACCGGTAGCGACTGAGAGAGTTTTGTACTTGCACTATATGTACCTGATGGGAACTGACTGCAAGTGTCCCCGGATTGAATCAATCCATACCTCTTCCCTCTGCAGTAGTAGTACCAGAATGAGTCGCTTCTTGTACAGTGTACTGGTACAGTCGTTCTTCTAATACCGTATTGGTAGAAAAATGCTGCAAGTTCATGATGTTGTTTCACCGAATTCAGTTCCCATCGCAGCTGTACGGGAGTATTATATATGCCCCTCCTGGATATCTGATATGCTAAAGTCTTTTTCTGATGTGAACTGATCAGTTCGCTCCACTTCTCCCAGAGTAAATGCTTCCTTGTTTCACCGCCGAGTTCGCCACGTTTCGTCGCATATGGACGAATGTCTCATGCCTGATGCCGAGTTGGAGTGAGCGAGTGACCGAGTCAGTCAGTCAGTCAGTCAGTCAGTTCACAGTCAGTCAGTCAGTCAGTCAGTCAGTCAGTCGGTCAGTCGGTCAGTCAACCGAGAATGGATCTTGGTACTTGTTTAGTCTTCGTAATTTAACAAAGCCGGCAGGGTTTTATTGCATCCTCATGAATGTAGTGTTTCTAGCACATGCGAGCCAAAGTACTGGGCCCACGGAATCCGAGGAAGACTGTTTCTCAGCACCATGGCCAAACGGACTTTCGACCTTTTTCACTAACTCATCCAATATCTACTAACGAAATAGACGATAGAAGATGGCCATTCCAGCAGCCCTCATCACAGGCACTATTTGCTACATTATACTCGGTATTGTTGCTCTTGCCGTTGTCTTCTCAATGAGATCAATTGGCAAGCTAAACCCCGATGACGCCGCGTGAGTTGCATTGAGTCTTGGCGTTTGGCTATGTATTCAAATGCGAAGAATGAATGGCAACTCACTTGTTTCGTGTATGTTTTGTTTCATCTATAGGGTTGGAAATGTTGTCGTTATCATTGCTACAGTGTCGATGTGGCTATTTTGGTGAGTTGATGAGTATCAAATACTGAAATGAAGATTCCAAGGTGGATGATGAAATATTCCTTGGACTACGATATGGGGTTCTGTGTGATTTCCTTTTGGTGCTGGTGTTGTTCAATTTGAAGCGGCTTCACTTTCTCTCTCAGTTGCGAGAAATTTGATCCCTCCATGGATGGCCATTCGATCGTCTTTCTCACTCGTGCTCCTTCCTTCTTCTTTCCGCAGGTTCTGCGCTTGGATGCACCAATGGCACCCTCTCATCTCACCGATATACGAAGGATAAATAAGATTCAACCTGAAAAGGATGACACAAACAGACACATACACACACACACGATTTCGCAAGGGGGTCATGCTACGACTGCATCTCAGAAACACTGTAGAAATCAACAACTTCAGTAGCAACTTTGTTACAACTAAACCACTATTATAGAGTCTTGGTGAAACATCGTCATTTTTTTTCAGCCACGTATATCGTTTTACTCCCTTTCAGCTACTTCTAGCTTTGGGAATATCGGTTTCGGCTGGGAAATAGGTGCACCTGCAGGCACGGAAAAGGCTTCGTCGTTCAAATGTGCAAATGTACGTTCCGATTCTGGTATTTGCAACTGATCCAATATGCGAGAGGCAGAGTCCGGAATGACGGGCTGATAGAGTATGGTGACCTTCCGCAGAACTTCCAGAAGAACATACAACACCGTCTCCATTCGCTTTGGGTCCGTTTTACGGAGGGTCCAGGGAGCCATTTGGTCAATGTACTTGTTTGCCTCCCAGATGGTAGCAATCAATTCATTAACATACGTTTGAATGGCTTGCGTCGAAATGGCTGTGGCTGCCTTGGTGTGCAATGCCAAGGTGTAGTCCAATAGTTCAATGTCTTCGAGCAGGAGTGGGCCAACTTCCTTGGGCATTGCCTTGTCACAGTTCTTGAATACCATGGAGAGGACTCGCTGACACAGATTCCCTAGTTCGTTTGCCAGGTTGTTGTTCACCTTCAACACCATGTTGGCTTCGGAGAAATCACCATCATTACCAAAAGCCACTTCGGTCATGAGAAAGAATCGAGTTTGGTCGACCCCGTACTAAGTGTTGCGTGTTTGGAAAGAAGAATACGTCAGGAAGAACTATTTGACGTTCGGCCCATCATGAGTCCATTACACTTACTTGTTCCACCAGCTCGACTGGATCAATGACATTCCCCAACGACTTTGATATTTTCTCCCCTTCTTTGGTCCACCATCCATGAGCAAAGACACGCTTGGGAACTGGAATATCGGCAGCCATGAGAAAGGCTGGCCAATAGACGGCATGAAAGAGCAGGATGTCTTTTCCAACTACGTGCAAGGCAGCTGGCCAATACTTGTCAAAGTTACTCCCTTCTTCAGTGTTGGGATATCCCAGAGCGGAAATGTAATTCGCCAAGGCGTCAATCCAAACGTACATGACATGATCCTCTTCGTCCCCTGGCACAGGAACGCCCCATTGGAAGGACGCTCGACTAATGGACAAGTCTCGTAAACCACCCTTGACAAAACTAATGACTTCGTTCCGTCTGGACTTTGGTGCAATGGAATCTGGATTTGCTTCATAGTACTCCAATAACTTGTCTTCAAAAGCACTCAGTTGGAAAAAGTAGGATTCTTCCTTGGCTACCCATTCCACTTCGGCACCAGTAGGTGCCTTGCCATCCAACAGTTCGGAATCATTGTAAAAGGTTTCATCCCGCACCGAATACCAGCCCGAATAAGTTCCCTTATAAATGTACCCCTTGTCTGCAAGTACCTTCCAAAAGTGCTGGATTATTGTTTGGTCAAAAAGATCGATTGATTGTTTGTTTAGTAAACCGGAATGGTGGGTACCAAATCTAGATGAAACGCTAGTATTCTCACACAAACAACATACATATAACTTATATTGCTCACCTGTACAGACGCCTTGTGACGCGCATCGGTCGTTCGAATAAAGTGGTCGTTGGAAATGTGGAGCAAGCCCAATAGATCTCGAAAGTTGGTGGAGACTTGGTCAGCAAATTGCTGTGGTTCCAATCCTTTTTGGGCTGCCGATTGTTCCACTTTCTGCAACAGTAAAAAGATAGAGATAGAAAGGAGGAAAGGATAGATGGTGATGGTGATGAGTCAACATATGTATTTGTACAGCAAGTATCCAATTACCGGCCATGCTGTCCTCCTCTATTTCTTGTCAACATATAGGACTTGCCTGACCATGTTCGTCCGTTCCCGTCAAGAAGTAGACTTGTCTTCCACTGAGCCGCATGAATCGTGCAATCACATCACATGCAGTCGATGTGTAGGCATGTCCTATGTGTGGTTTGTCATTGACATAGTAAATGGGTGTTGTAATTTGAAAGGGTCGTTTTCCATCGTCGACTGAAGTTGCCAGGGGATCTGTAATAGTGGCAGTCACACCACCATTACTTCGTGACAGGCTGGAAAATGAAGACTGAAAGGAAGGGCGCACGAGTGATATTGGTCGTTTCCGTGAAAGTAAATGCCCGTTGGATGTTTTGTGGATAAGCATGCGTGAAAGTCGATTGGCGGCGATGCATTGGCCTATCAATGGCCCACGAGCCTGTCGCAAAAGAGGAGACATTATCCAGTCAATATCCTATTGGCTTCTTTATTTCTCTTCGATGTAGCTGCAATGAACAGATGTGAACAAACAGAAAGTCTTCCAATAATAGGTACCAGGTACCAGGTACCGGTATGCATGGACCGCAAATGTGATGTCGATTTCAGATTGTGTGAAATTCCAAGTAGTCGTTTCGACTCAGACGAATGCTCCACCGCGACACTAAAAATCTCAGCGACCTCTACAATAATATCGCATCATCGCAGAATAATATTGAGAAAGCATTTCATCTCTGGTTCCCTTTCTATCAATTGGTTTGGGAACACAGCAAGATCTCCTGTTTTGCTGAAGAATAGTCAAATGTCCACTCGCAAGGCCGCAGAAATCAGCGCAAGTTCCTCCTCCAGCAACGATGAGAACGAACATACACCAGTTGCCAAGAAACTCAAATGTTCGTCCACAGATTTGATTATTCGATTAGGCCAAGAGAAATACGAGTTTCATTGCCATGCCGTGCTCATGGCCAATCACAGTGACTTCATTGATGCGACTTTGGCTTCGCCTATGCGAGAATCACAAACAAGAATCATTGATTTGCCCGACATTTCGCCGCGAATATGGGGACTGATGATGGAGATATTGGATTCACCGCCCACCATGACACCAATCGCCAAGAATATGGACGACCTGATACTGGCGGCGGAAAAGTTTGACCAATACCAGTTTGTTAATGGTTTTGCTGTCTGTGGGACCCATGTTGCCTTGGCCTTTCAAGCGTTTTCCAAAATGTTTGTTGCAGAACCCTTGCGAGTGGGACAACGTATGACCAGATTTATTGAGTATGCCCTCAAATGCGACAAGATTCAGCTAAAACTGAGCAACACAGCGATTACATCCTTTTTTCGTCGGGCCATCAATTTGCCACAAGAACGAGGGAACCATTATGGTGGACTCATCTTTTCCAAAGAACAGCTTCAAAAATTGGCACCACTGATTGCCGAAGAAAATTTATTGGGTGATCAATGGACCAAGGAAGAAATATTGTGTCCGTTGTTTCCAAAGTACTATTTGGCTGCAACTCTAAAAGAGTATGAAGAGAAACGATTCGGACCCTTGCACAAACACAAGCCAATGAAATTGGCCATTTTGCGATTGGTCCAGAGCTCTTCCAAAAAGTACAACGTTGCTGCACTCCAAAAGACGACAGCCTTGCCGGTTACGACACCTTCCTTTGCCGGTACACCGCAACAAAATGATGGCGCTGTCTGGAGTGAAGAGCTGCAAAACTCCCGGCTAGTCTTGCGAAAGACAATGCAAGGGAACTGGGTTATCGCCGTATCCCGAAACCAAAATAACGAAGGGAATCGCAACAATTGGCGGATATTATGGATATCTCCAATGAGTATCAATTGTGTCAATGTTCCGCCAATGAAGCCATGGTGCAGAGTTGATGATGGCGCCCCCACTGGAACCTTGAGCATATTCATGGGGTCCCAAGGATCCGGGCCACTTCCAGCTGCCATGGGAGGACGAGCTGTCAATGGAACCAACGGTGGCGATGATGCGGCTGCTGACGCTCCAGCTGCCAATAATGGCAACGACAATAATAACAATGGCGCCAATGGGAATGGAAATGCTGGCGCAGGGAATGTCCGACCAGGGCCTCCTCCACTGGAATTGCAGCATCCAATCAATTAAAAATGGGTTCAGTTTGGATAGTCGGCGCAAGTGATATGTTGCCTCTCTTACTGAATGAATCATCAAAACACAATGAATTTAGATTAATTGTATAATATTTTAGTAGTTTATAATAAACAACTTTTAATAGACTGTACTCTTATCATGATGATGAAGAAGGGACGTTGGTCTTGCGACAGTTGACAATCGAATCACGAGTCCAGAACTTTTGTTGACATGACAGAAGCACCCACAGTCGGGTTAGAACCGGTTTAATACCAAGTAGTAGTTCCTCTAGAAAAATTGTTCAAAACCATTCCACTATGGAAATATTGAGTGCAACTTGCAACTCTTCTTGACAAAAAAGGCTGAAAGGTCAACGCTGACGGTGGTTTCTTCTTGTTGGTAGGCCACCACCCTAGCCAGCACCATCACAGCAGCGATCCAGATATTTCTCGAACACGACGCAACTCCTTGAGATTTAAAATGAAATTGAAAGACTTTGGATCTTTTCCTGAGATCGTTGAATCGTCCTCGTATCCACTTGCCGTGGCCGTTTTGTACGGAGTCTCAAAGCTGATTCATTCATACTAGTAGTATTTAGTAGTACTATGTTGTTGACTTTCCACTCTAAGCTCTCAGTCTATAACTCTTGGCTTGTCTTCGCTGGTCCGTAGTTTGAATGCTAATCTCCAACTGTTTCGATCGCTTCTTGCAAGACCTTTGAAAACAGGCCTGAACCAAAATCAAAGAAAAGAATAGCCTGAACAAACTACTCCCTGAAATCCATTGTGGTCCGTCAATGATCCGTGCACCTTTTCAAAATGTGATAATAATACCGGCACCACTATGACGCAAGTCTTGATGATACGAGCGTTTTGCCAACGATCTGACAAATGAAGAAAGATAGTACGGAGCGTTGAGTATGGTAGTGTTGTTATCCTAGTTCCCTGATACCTAGAGATTGATGCATGTCAAAAGAAAAATAAGGAATAAATTATGAGCAAATCCCCAGATACAATCTCAAACAAATCATCGTGCCTTCGCAGATGCGATTGCTCAGACAGGGGAAATACGACCAACCAATTGGCTAACTGCCGCAACAGGCATTCCATTTATGAAGATACGCTGGTGGAAGGCATGCAGCATCTCTCTTTTGATCAGATTCAGCATGAGCAGGAATTACTTCACGGAGTTGCGGATGAAGTTAAGCTGAATGAAAATACAATCAACGACTTGCTCCTTAGGCTGGAGATGCATCTTAATCGGATGAAGAAAGGAACCGCCTTCGAATCAGCGCAAAGGCAAGACCCATCTTATGTTTCGAATCGAGAACTACAGCTAGCTTTCTTGCGAGCGAAGAGGTTTGAGCCTAAAGGTGCAGCTGAGAAACTGATTAACCACTTCAAGTACAAACGCGACCTCTTTGGCGAAGGCAGCTTGGTTCGGGACATCACCGCACAAGATTTGGGCCAAGATGACTTAACCTGCTTATTGGAAGGCTTTTTCCAATACTCCCCGTTTCGTGATCGATCAGGACGAACGATCCTGTTGGAGTTCCCCGGCATACGATCCAAGAGAACAATCCGTACATTGTTGCGAGCCAGATTTTACGCTGCAGCCAACAATGTTGAAACAATGGTGGATCTTAGCAAAGGAACTGTCATCGTGAGCTACTTTGTGGAAAAGTATCAAGATCATTTGAATGGGTCGGGGTTCGTAGAAACAGCAAAGTTTTACCATGAAGCTGTTCCCTTGAAAACAGATGGGTTTCATTTATGTTGCAGCAGTTCATTTGAATGCATGGTGACCAGGGCATGCATCGCACTAATCCCGCATCGTGACCGCGTCAAGTCACGGGTGCACTTTGGATCTCATACAGAATGTCAATATTTGCTCGCAAGCTATGGCATATTCAGAGCCGCGCTTCCTTTGAAAGGACCGGATAATGAGATGGATTTGAACCATCACAATGCTTGGTTTCAGAGACGGAAGCTTCGCGAGATAGAGAAACCGCAACATATGTCAGTGCACATTCCTTCTTCTGATGTATTTACAACGCACCAACGGAGCACACCATGCCATAGAAACTCATCAAGCTCGGACAGTGGCAATGCAAACGATGTCTTGTGCTTGGGTAAAAGGATCAAAGGTGTGGGTAACGAACGACTGCATTCCTTGGCGCTCAGTTATGCCACAGCTTACAGAAATGGAAGCTTTTCCAATCGACGAACCATTGTTTCTGGAATTATTGATGAAGTCCATAGGCACGGCGGTAGATTTCTGAAGCCAGACCCTCAAGTTGCAGGTTCAATGCCATCTGAGGATGAAGGGAAGATCGTATGGGTAGAACTAACTCGAGATGAACAACGTGCCAAGGTTACACAGCTCTTCCGCAATCTGCGTCATCATCGGTCTCGACAGGGCTCCATTGTTTCAAACAATGCTACAGCAGCAGCGCCTCCGTCTTTGCTGCCATCAGGGGCACCCGTATCTACAGCATCATCATTATCAACAAGTCCTCCGGTAATTGTGGAAAAGATCGGCCCACACGATGTCTTGTTTGGGTACCAGCTCGATAACCCAGGCAACCAACGACTGCGAGAGCTCGTTTTCGGACTAGCAGACGAGTACAACCGCACCGATCGCGGGGAGAAGAAGAAAAAAGTGTTGCAATTGCTGGGAACCATACGAAATAGAGGTGGTCGTTTTCTGAAGCCTTGCAAAGATGGTACGGGATGGGAAGTGGTATCCGATGAAGTTGCGCGTAAGAAGGTTTCCATGCAATTTCGCAATCTCCGAAGATCACGTTGAGATTAAAAAGTACTAGGAGACAGGCATCGATATTGCACTGACCACGTGGTGGGATCACCATCACGATCATCTTCTATATATTTATTCTTTTAAAAAAGGAAAACCTTTGCGCATATATACATTGTTGTTCCATGTACCTTGCAACTTCAAAATTTTCTGATGGTGGTTTCCATCCCGCACTCTAGCAGTCATGATAGCGATCCAGATCTTTCTCGAACACGACGCAACTCCTTGAGCTTTACTGAAAATGAAAGACTTTGGATCTTTTCCTGAGATCGTTGAATCGTCCTCGCATCTAGTTGCCGTGGTCGTTTTGGACGGACAAGTCTCAAAGCTGATTCATTCAGCATATCCTCCTTGTGATGATTTTCCTATCTCGAGTTCTGCCAATAGCTGTTGTCTTTGATGGATTCCCGTGTAGCTTGAATGTTATCCTCGAGCCGTTCGGATGAATGTCATTTTCGTTCAAAATTTGTGGCATTCCATCGTTTCTTGCAGGACCTGACTGCCGGTAGTGACTTTTCCCTGCACGTTTGAGAGTTCGGGTGTTCAAGTTTCCAGAGGGTAGAAATGGTCTGTCCGTCGTCTTTGGGCGTCCAGGTTTCGGGAACAATCCTGTAAAATGCCTTGCTCGTTCATTCGAGTGCCTCGATACAAAAATAAAGGATACAATGCCACCATACCGGTAAGCCTCAGCCTTGATTGATCATGATAGACCATTGTTAGTAGGAAGAAGGCAAGCTCCTCAAAAGCCATACAATGCCATGGAATTGGCATAGCATGCGTCTGCGACCGTTTCCACCGAGACGTCTTTGACACCGGCAATCACTTCGGCAACTTGGACAATTTGGCAGGGTTCGTTGCGCCCCTTGACCATTTTGCCCTTTTCATACTTTTTGTAATTCTTGGATTCCCACTTGGTCTTGACAAATGAATAGCCAGCATGGGTCGCCTTGACGTCACAATAGGGGCAATCCGTTTCCAACAGAATCTTGTCCAAGGGAATTTGCTGGACCACTTGTAGATTTTCTTCTGTTTTCAAGGAACATCCATTCAATCCAATGTAGAGACCCATTTCAATAAATTCATTGGCCAGCTCGATGCTTCCATCAAAAGAATGCACGACACCTTTGCAACCAACGCTAGTTGTTTCACCTTTTGTGTTGTGGCTCCGTAGTATTTCCGCCAAGTCTCGGCCCACATTGCGATTGTGCAAAAAGAATGGCAAATCTTGGAGCTCAGGAGCCGACTGAAAAGTCTGTAACTGCTTTTGAAAGTACTCTTGTTGAATCTCCTTGGAACAGAACTCGAGTCGATCATAATCCAGCCCAAATTCCCCAATGGCCCAGACACTTTGATCCTTTTGGCCTTCTACAGCGAGTGCTTTGAGTTCCTCCAAGACTTGCTGAGGATCATTGGGATGAGGTGGTAGATTCATGTCATCATTTGCATCCTCGTCTTTGTATTCCGGATCACATCGATCCACAAACTCTTGTTGGCATCGTGTGGGATGCACTCCAATCGTACAACCAAAGTGCAGTACACCACCACCACCACCACCACCATCGCTACTATCATTATTGTTATTCTTGTTGTATTCCTCCCACTTTTGTCGCAGTTCACGAACCAATGCCAACGCCCGACGACTTTCTCGCAAGGTACCCGCCGTCAAGATCAAGTGTGTGATTCCCGCTTCCACAGATCGTTGTAGGACATCTTCGTAATCGGGGTCGTGTCGTAGTTTCCCATTGTATTCCCCCATGTAGCGGTCGTCCAGTAAATTGGCACCAATGTCGACAAATCTCATAGTAGCACCATTGGATTTATCATTGTCGTTGGCGGCCGCCATGATGCGGTCCACGTGAAGTGATGATGAGATTGACCACAACGATTTAGAAGAAGATGACGAAAAGGTCCGAAGCTTTGGTAGCAAGCTGAAAGAATGAATGTGTTTTAGTGAAAGTAAAATGGTTGTTACTAGTAGGAAAAGGTGTGGAACCTTTGGGCTTTTGTAAAAGAAATGCTGACCTGTTATTGTCCACACTGTTTGGATCCTCATTTCATTTTGAGGATGTTGATTTTCATTCATCCGTGGTCAGTGCGTTGGGTACCTGGTACGTGTATACGGACAGACATCTCCTTGAACACGCGGGTACACGCACAGACTTCACCTGCGGGACTGGCTTGCTTGCGACCATGAGCTCTGATCAGAAGTGTTCGGAAATTGTGAATTTTCAAACTGTTTTTTATATCGTGAAAACTTGTGTGTGTGTGTGTGTGTGTGTGAGAAGACAGAAGCAGGCCATTCCAACAACATCAACATTTGTCCTTTCCGAATATTAAAAATACACAGCACAGCCCAACACAACACAACAACCAAAACAAACAAGAAGATGCCCACGCGCAAGGCGGACGAAATCACTGGAAACTCCCCCGGTGGTAGTGACAATAAAAATAACATCCACAATCACAAGGATGATGAAAACACCCCAGTTGCCAAGAAACTGAAATCCTCTCCGACCGACATGATCATCAAGTTGGGAGCGGAAAAATACGAATATCATTGCCATTCCATCCACATGGCCATGCAAAGTGACTTTATCGATGCGGCTTTGGCCTCACCGATGCGAGAAAGCGTCACCAAGGTTATTGAACTCCCAGATGTAACTCCCAAAATATGGGGATTGATGATGAAGATTATTGATTCCCCGCACGTGGCTAACTTTCTAGGCACGACCATGGGCGACGTCCTCTTGGCAGCCGAAAAGTTTGACCAATATCAATTTATCAATGGTCTTGCCTGTTGTGCCAAACAGGTCTCACTGGGATTTCATCAATTGAATAAAATGTTCCACACGGATCGATTAAAAGCGGAACTCAAGATCAATAGTGCGATACGGCACGCCATTCAATGCGACAAGATGCAACTGAAGCAATCCATGCCGTCGGTGGTGGCCTTTTTTCGACTGGCACTAGCAATGCCAAAAGAAGGAAAAAGCTACAGTGGTGGACTCAGCTTCAAGGAAGAACAATTGAAACTGCTGGCACCGCTGATAGCCAAAGAAAAATTGGTGGGTGATCGGTGGACCGAGGAGGAGATCTTATGTCCGCTATTTCCAAAGCACTATTTGGCTACCTTAATGAAGGTATATGAAGACAAGACCTTTGGGCCCATGCACCAGCGCAAGCCCATGAAGCAGGCGACCTTGTGGCTCAAAAAGGTCACCAAGACGAAAAAGTACAAAATTTCCGTCCTCCGAAACACGAATCAATCCAGCGCAACCCCTTCCTTCATTGGTAGTCCCCAACCGCATAGTAGCATAGAATGGGGCAATGATGAATTACCAAATGCCATGATAGGCTTGAAAAAGCTTTCCAATGGCGGCAACTGGGTAATTGCCACTGCACGAACGGTTGTCGGGGAGAATGGGCATCACCCACACTCCCAAGTGTTGTGGAGGTGTCCCATGAGCACCAACTTTGTCAACTTTCCACCCACAAAGGGATGGGTCAAAGTAGACGAGGATGCTCCCAAGGGTTCCTTGAGGATTGAATTGGGAGAAACGGATTCCGATCGTCATTCTTCGTCTCCTTCTGCGGTTATGGCTCGTCATCGACGGCGGGTGCATGTGGCTGCTGCTGCTGCTCCTCCTCCTCCTCCTGCTGCTCGCAATGATGATAATAATAATAATAATAACGCTGCAGGAGCTGGAGCTGGAGGGGACAATGCTCCAGCACAAGGTGGTGGTGGTCCATTGAACGTAATAGAATAGTTGAACCGCTCTACCCAGAGTATGATGGATGGATGGATGGATCCATTCATTCATTCATTCATTCGACATGCATGAGAGAAAGCAATAAGGAATGCCGACCGTTCTCCTGCTATACTGCTCGTCATTCTTGACGGTGAGTGGATGATGCTGCTGGCAATGGTGATGCCGATGATGGAGCTCAAGGGGACGGTGGTCCAGCATAGGGTGATCCATAGAGAATGCAGTTGAACCGTACCGGTTGACTAGGGGATTTTTGCCGATCATTCATTCGTTCGTCTCCTGCTGTTGCTCATCATTGTCGCCGGGTGAATACTGCTGCTCGCAATGATGGAACTGGGGGAAACGAGGATCCAGCACAAGGTGACGCTTCACATTGAAGGTACCGGTACACTACTATAGTTGAACTGTACCAAACGGATGATTGGTCAAAAGTACAGTCTTACAGTACAAGGTACCTGGTACAGTGTATATAGAGGGGATTAATTGCTACAAAAAATCAACATATGATTAGTTCGACTAACTCAAACAAGGAAAGAAAACTTTTTGGTTCTGTCATTATTCCAGCATTATTTTGCAGTAGAAATCTCCCAGCGTATAGTACTGTACAGAAAGGCCATCCCAAGGCCGAGGCATTGGAGTTCATTGTTCTTTTATTACATTCGAAAGATGGATTATCCCGGTTTCGTCGAAGAAACGGGTCCCTCCAGCAGCAACGACGACTACTCAGATGACGATGAAGAAGCTCAAATCCTCGCCTACCGATCTTACACTCCGACTCGGAAAAGACAAGTACGAATATCACTTGTCACTCCATGATCATGGCATATCACAGCGGCTTCATTGATACTGCATTGGCGACGCCTATGCAAGAGAGTCAAACACGTATCATTGACTTGCCTGATGGAACTCCTCAAGTTTGGAGTTGGATGATGCACTTCCTAGACCCGCCGACTTTTATGCCACGGCACCCATGGAGCTTGAAAATCTGGTTTTAGTAGCAGAGAAATTTGATGAATACGAATTCACCAAAGGGATTTTTGGTTGTGAAACGGAGATAACCAAGTTCTATGGTTTTCTTCGGAAGCGATTGGATTCAAATCAAGGGTTGCTCGATTCCGAAAAATTGAGCTATTATATTACGCAGGCTCTCCGATGCAATCAAATTCAATTGAAGAAATCAATGCCTGACATTTTGGACTTCTTTCGCCGAGCTCTCACCTTGCCGGAAGGAGCTGGAAATCATTGTGGTGGGCTCATTTTTACGAAAGAAGAACTTCAACAACTGGCGCCTTTGATTGCAGAACACAACTTACTAGGCGACCGATGGACTAAGGAAGAAATACTGTGCCCTTTGTTTCCAAAACATTTTCTGACCACTTTATTGATCGACTATGAAGAAATGAGATTTGGTCCCATGTGCAAACGCCGCCCCATGACAAAAGCGGGCTTGGTGTTGGAAACAAGCGAGGGCAAGGGTGGAATCATTGCAAATCTAAGGTCTGATATAAGCCCGAACGCGGAAACGCTCTTCAGCGGTACTGTCCAGCGTGCTGAACGTAAATCCTGGAGTAACGATCTACGAAGTGCCAAACTAGTCTTGGGCAAGAGTCGAGATGGCAATTGGGTGATTCAGGCTTCCATTAATGTTAATGAACAGAGACACATTCGTGACTTGTGGCAATCCCCCATGAGCTTCAACTGTTTGAATGCCCCTCCAATGAAACCATGGCAAAAACTTCACAACAGTGCACCCAAGGGTCGTTTGAAAATCGTTCTGGAACCTAATTTCCCATATTGAATGCCAAAGTTGCCCACTAAACTGTCAGAATTCACATGCTTGGAAGATCTGCTTTTGGCAGAAGAGAGTTTCAAACGATATCCATTTATCAAAGGCCGTGTTTTCTGTGATGCACACATTACTCAAAGATTGAAATCCGAATGCAGTCTGGTTTACATGGACAGTGGAGAAGCAAGAAAAACTATGTCATACTTGATCGAAATCTCCCTCCGATGCATCAAGATTCCTCGGTTGGGGAATTCCAAGGTTGGCATTGTCGCATTCTTTCGTCGGGTTCTCACTTCATCAGTCGAGACTAAAGATTATCATGGTGGTCATCTCGGTTTCAGTGAGGAACAACTAAAACAGCTCGCACCACTGATTGCAGAAGAAAACATGCTTGTGATCGATGGAGAGGAGATTTTGTGTCCTTTATTTGCAAAGTACTACTCGTCTACGTCGCTGAAAGGGTACGAAGAATATACGTTTCGGGTCCCTTCGCGTTCAAACTGTGGTTTTGAAATTGGAGATCAGCCCAACTCAAGTCGTCAACCTTGTCAAGCTCCTAAACACTTCATACATAACACCCATTGTATTTTCCGGGCATCTCCACGGTGCGAATTGGCCTCACGATTTGCAAGGAGCAAGGCTAGAAATAGCACAAGGTATCCACGGTGATTGGGACATTGCTGCTCGAAGAAACCAGAACCAAAATTGGCGCACACTATGGTGGGCTCCTCAGAGTATGCATTTGACAAGTGCTGACCCCGAAAGCCTGTGGATTAGACGAGTTGATAACATACCTATTGACACATTGATGGTGGTTCCAAACGCAACGAGACTGCAAGTGTCACAAACTCGATGCTGGTACAGCCAAGCCTCCAGTCGTAGCTTTTGTGATTCTCAAAGCTATCAGATTCTTTATGTACATATATATGCGTGATCACTCCATGTAAAATATTAGCTGGGTGACAATACACCGTCACCAATGAATGTACAGTGGAAGAGCAACATAGGTTCGCCACTTTCGAAATGTGGCGCTCTTGATTTGTTGCGCAGATGAATGTGTCGAGTGGGTGTTCTAGAGCGAAGTCGTAGTCAACAAGGCAGACTGCGTATCTGATGTTAATAGAATCAAAGGTGAAGAACAAGACGGCTCGTATATAGGACTCTTCGATTCTTTCAATCTGCAATAGTCCAGGAACACTTTCAATATCCACCGATGGCTTCACAGAATGAACATTTCGTACCATAA